GGGGGGGGGGGGGGGGATAAATACAGCAGCGATTTATATTTAGACCGGCACGAAGGTAGCAACGGCGTTCCTCAAGAACGTCGCGTGATCGATAGATAGGATATCGGTCGTGAACTATTCGCAGACGCCATATAAAGCTAAAGGAAAATCGCCTGCGGGGACATCGAGGATGCGAAATTGGCGACGGATGATCTTTTTTTTGCCCGGATTTGTCGTGAACGGAGTAATTCTCGGCTGACGCAACTCGCCCGTTATTCACTTCTAAAAAAGGAGATACACACACCGAAAGAAACAAATGCTACATTCAAATAATATTTCCTTTATCCAAGTAAAGTAGTTACTCCAATATTTCTTAGCAAACATATACTTGAAGTAGAAATTTAGTTGACTATATAAAATGTGACATTTCCTTTGTATAATTAGACATTTTTGTACGTGTTATAAAAAAATTTTAACGAATATTAAACTCGTAATATTGAGAATGTCAGAATCTTGATTTTAAAGAAAATTTACTGAAAGGCAGAAAAATTGAAAAAACTAAGTTTTTTCAATGGAAAAATAGGATTACATAATTCTAGATTCTAAATACTCTCTTAAATTTCGAACAATTTCCTTACATTCAATAATTCAATAAGTTGCAAATTAAGATATTACCATGTTAAAGTAGGTATTTATTACAAGCCAATATATATATATATATATATAAGTTGATAAAAATATCATTTGATTTAAGAGACTGAAAACTGGTAATATTACATTTATTTGATTCCAGCACTTTCTTTTTTCTGTATGTATACGACAACGTCACATCACTTGTCTCATCGAGACGACGAGTTACAAACGAATCTCCCTCCGTTGTTCTCACATATTTATGAAGTATCCGAGTATCAACGGGTCAGTATCACGCGCGACATCCTCCGCGTAAACCGCAGCTACTGCAACGCGATGTGTCGGTTGCTGCAGCTACCGAGATATTTTCAGTAAATGGGCGGTGGCCATATGGGGCCCCCCTGCTGCGAGAAAGATAATTCTATTTATGTGCGACACGCTAATCCCCAGGCCTGTGAAAACACACGATTCAGAAAGGGAGATTAATCTAATGGATTTTAATCAGTCGAAGATTAATTAAATTTCGCTCGAATATTTGTTTCCTTATGAGTGAAAATACTTCCTGTCTCAAGCTCAGAGCAAGGGAACGAGATAAGCCGAGCTTATTATTATTATTAACAATAGCTTAGTAATTCATCCTAATGTCCGGGCTTAAGGCTTCTGTTTCCTCGTTGCAGCCATCTTGATTAATGATGTCGGAAGCGAGAAAACCAAAGATTCTCGCGGAATATATTAAATCAAAAGAATATATCAATAAAATAATACCTGAGATCGATTTATAAAAGATCCCGACACATTTATAAAAGATCCCGAAGATTTTTTTCCTTTATCTTAATATTCAATAAAAACAGCCGTAAAATTAACGCGACAAAATCATGAGAAGAGATAGGCTGAAAAGAAGAATTGCAAGTCATGTTAATTTTACGGCCATTTATTGATTGTTAAAACGAAAGTTTTAAGTCGGAATATTTTACAAATGTGCTCGATCGGTCACAAATATTACGGACATATCCTTTTATGTCGACGTATTTCGCAAGAAATTTGGGTATGCGTTTTCTCGCTTCTGACGCCATCAAATGAGACGGCTGCAGCGAAGGACCGAAAGCCTTAACACGTTGCCAACCACGCGAGTTGCGCCTTACAAGGCTCCGAAAACCATACCATTTCGTAAACAGTGCACAGTAACATTCCTTGACCCGAATTTTTTACAATTCTTGCGCAACGTAGGAGTCAATACAATAAAATTTGGGGATAAAAATAATTTTTTTTTCGAAATAATCGAAAATTTAAGTTGATCGCTCGATCAACGATCATCGGGGAAAGGGAGATCTACTTGATCGGTTGGTAATATGCTAACACACTGCCAATCGCACGATTTACGCCTCTCACAAGATTTTATAAAGCATACATTTCGTAGAACGTAGTAACGTATTTTAACCTGAACTTTTACCATTCTTCGTAACGTAGGAGTCGATATAGTAAGATCTAAAAATAAAACTAATCATTTATCTCTCTACAGAATCATCAAGAGCTTAGGTTAATCGGCCGATCAACGAAGAAAGGGTAAATCCGATCCGGTTGGTGATGTGATATCAGATTGATACGGTCCGTAGCGGCCAATCGAAGCGCATTGCCGACCGTTGTACGCGTTGCAACGCCGAAGGAATCACCGTGCGTCGCTCGTGAAAGCAAAAAGAAGCGAGGAGAGGGTTCCCTTTTCCCTTTCTCCTTCTCTCTCTTTCTCTTGCGAGACTCAATTCGGATTAGCCCCCGCACTCTCTTTCTCTCCTGCGTGATCCGTCCGGGCGTTCATGCCGTGGATATATTTATCGTCTCTCTTCGCTAAAATCATTCCGCGCGGTCCAACTTGACCCGTCTGCGCGTGCGAGCGGGTTTTATTATCCAGCGTGCTCGCCGCATACCCGCTTCGCTTGCGTGCTTCTTCGAGCGATGCAAATAACACATTTTCCATTCGCTTCCTCCTTTTGTTATCTACTTACACGTAGGAAAATAACATAGAGGAACAATAGATTTTTATACCGTGGTAGAACAAATAAATATACAGGATATTTTTTCTTAAGCACCGTCAAAGTATTTTAGCTGATTTTTGAAGCTATTTTGTAAAGAAAAGTGTAAGTTCATTTCTTCATAAAATGATCCCGAAAATCAACACCTAAAATATCGGACGGTATTTGAGAAACATTTCGCACGGTAAAAAAAAATATATTGTACTCGTGTTAAAATTTTTATGTTAAAATTTCTAACATATCCGTGTGTTAATTCAGCACATTGTTTACGTTGTCTTAACATTTTGTATTGTGTCGGTATTCAACATATCGATATTCAACGTATCGTAAATGTTGAAATAACATATTAGTACACGTCGTTGTCGATTAACGTATTAATTTCGTATTAATTTTTTAAATAATATTCGTCACTTTTCAACATATTCATCTTATGTTAAATTAACAGAAAAATTTGAATGGACTGTCTGGAACATGTGAAACATGTTAAGTTTAACATAAAATTCTTCATTGCGTATATTATATTTATCTGTTACGACAACATAAAATTTGCCGTTTCCCTCTGAATTGTTTTACTCCGTGCGTGTATCACAAAGCTCACTTTCCTCAAAAACCTAAGCCCTCGTTACTACAATCGTTATTTGAAATTGTTTCACGTAAGATACTTAGATATAAATTCAGAATTAGATTTGAGTTCTTCGTCTGAACTTTATACAATACATACGACGTTCCATTTATAAGCGCAATTCAGCCAAGAAACCCATATCTAACTCTAAATTAAAATCTAAATATCTCAGCCGAGGCGAGTTTCAAGTAATGACTGTTAACACGGGTCCTACAAATGTAATCCCGATTCCTCGAGTGTCCCCTTCGCTGACAGAGTCCCACTCCGGATTACAGATCGTCGAAAATATGCTCGATTCGAGTTTGCCAGTTTGGAGGGAGGGAGAGGGGCGATTTGAGAACTACGTGCCCTCCCTTTCCGTATTCCAGGGGGAACCGCACGGTAACGGTAAGCATTACACTCGTCCTCGCGTTTCGACAGTGCCGTCGTGAGTGCGTAAACACGCTGAAGAAACACCGTGCGGTAATCACGCGATTACATGAAATTATGCACGCGCTATAACGGATATATCGTCGTGCCGCCGCCGCCATCGGCGGCAGCAGTAACCTACCTGACAATGTGAAAGTTTAAGGCCACACTCGCCGGTAATTGAGCGAACTAATTGCAGAGAGCAAGAAATCCCCGTCACCGTGGCCCGACTTACGGACTAATTAGCACGTTAATAAGCGAGCGGAAGCGCGCGACCGCATCGACATAACACCCATATAAACAGCGTTCTCACCCACGCGCTGCTCTCCCCGATCGCGCCCCGCCGTTGTCCATCGCGAGGGAGAAAAAGAGAGAGAGAGAGAGAGAGAGACTATTTTCCCTCGCTCTTTCTCCTTCGCGCGCACGCGGTCGCGAAAGTAAGATACAATTTTATTCTGCTCACCTGCGGTGCGTTTTGCACCGTACGAGCGACGTACGAGAGTACATATGGCTCTCTAATTGCGCGGAGATCTCGCTCTTCTCGGTCCCTTTTCCACGCGTGCAGGTCGCACAATTGGCGTCGTGTACACCGAGAGAAAAATATAGTTGTTTTCGAGGACAACAATATCCTTTCTTCATTTTAACCACGAAAATAGTCAAGACAACTTTTTTTTTTAAATAAATGTTTACTATATTTAATAAGTTTTATTATAGTGTTAATGACAATAACCTTACATGCATATTGTTATTATTTTTGTGGTTAAAATAAAAAAGGATACTGTTGTCCCCGAAAATAACTATATTTTTCTCTCAGTATATGCTATGCTATTTCCTAAGTAAAAAATTATACAATTTTCAGCCTTACAGGTGCACGCATACATAATAAAAAAACATTTTGTACTTGTGTTAAAATCGGCCCTTGTTATAATAATTATGTTTAAATTTAACACACAATTTCTTTCCAATTTCTTCTCACCGTGTAAGGTCAAAACCGTTATAATTAGAGCCATTACAACCCTACCATTATAACTAGAGATATTTATGCGATCTTCAATCTTATGGGTTATGTATAAGGCTGAAAATCGTGCAATTTTCCATATAACATACAGAACGCCGACTGTACGTCGAGCACGCCGCGATTCCGCGTGCGAGCCTCGCGTCAATTAACTGTTTCTTTCTTTACTGCCGTTCGTTCCGATCCGTATCGCTCTCAGCGAAGCGACTTCAGCGTCAAAGTGATGAATAAACCGTATGCAGGCCGCTTTCTTTCTCCTAGCCGGCCCGTCTTTTACGAAAGCACTCGGGATGGATGGTGATGGATTCGAAGGATAAGAACATGCTCATCGCCCGGCCGTCGTCCTGTCCGTTAATTTTCATCGGGGAAGGAACGGCGTGTGTCCGTGGCGAAACGACCTTGCGGAACTTTCGATTCTCACTCTCTCGCACGCCTTTTTTCTCCGATATTTATATATATATATATAAATCGCGAGCCTGATAAAATAATGACAAGCGTGAAATGAGCGTGTTACTTGCACGCGATCATCGGTTGGAATCATTTTAGGAGAAGAAAAAAAGAAAAAAGGGGGGAAAACGAGAGAAGCCGAACAACCGCACGAGAAAACAACACGACGCAACTTGCAGCCGGCTCGCGTTCAAATCGGGGATCGATCAAACTCCGTCGAGAAACGTGCGTGTGTGTGTGTGTGTGTGTGTGTGTGTGTGTGTTCTCACGACTAGGGAACGATGCGAATTTAACCGTCACTTTTGTCATACCGCGAATGGTGACCACTCGCGCACTACTTTATCGCTCGCTAGTCGTTGTCGTTAATTACTTCCGTCAATCTTTCTCGACAAGATAAACGCGAGACGTAGCCTCTATGAGTCTCTCTCTTTCTCTAAAACCAGCGGCACACGGTGCTTTTCGCGCTGGATCGCTTGCTGGATGGAAACACCGCGTTTCGATTGGTGTGTTCCCATCCATTTTCGGAGATACGTCAATCAGAACGCAGAATTTCCATCCGATAAACGATCCAGCGCGAAAACAACCGTGGGTCGCTGGCTTAAGTCAATATTGAGCCGTACAATGCAATGAGCCGCTCTTTATCGTATACTACAAACCGGATCTCGTTACCGCCGCTGTAGCGTATTTACAAACCCACATGTTTCCACGGCAGTTTTTCGCGTCGTCCGGAAATCAGCACGCTCGGTTTCCGAACGGTTTTCCGACGCAATTCGAAACATAGCTGATCCTCCAATGACTCCCAATGGGAAAAAATGTTTGTATACGATTATATATAATTATAAAAATCATATATGAATTTTGCCCATATGTATAGTTACATATATGATCATATACGGAACGAATCTTCTAATTGGATTATCCGTTTGCACTCCGAGTCGCATCGAGAAGTGTCTGAATCGTTTCGAAACCGAGTGTACAGTCGATGTTACGTACGATTAGTCGCAAAAAGGTTGCGACGTTTCTCCTTTCAAATTTCAGAACACATCCTGCGCCCAATAGGAGAATTTGTTTGCTACTGATTCTCAGGAAATACATTTCTCTACTAAACATAAGATGCGTCGCGAAGCTCGTTGAGAAAAAGTGTTGTAATCTTTTCGTTATTAGCCACACACGTACGTTGTTATACAGTCGTGGACAGAAAGGTCGTGAAACATTTCTTCTCGACGAATTTCGAAACGCATTTCGTATCCAGGAATAGGAAAATGTATCTTCTGGGAATTATTAAAAAAAAAAACAAATTCTCCTGTTGAGCACAAGATGTGTTTCGGAACTCGTCGAAAAGAAAAAAAAAGTGTCACAACCTTTCTGTCCACGACTATACCATTTTCTAAACACGATTTATTCAATATAAATTACACGATTTTCAGCCTTATACATGACCCATAAGAAGGTCATTGAATATCACATAAATAACTCTAATTATAATACGTATCTGTTATGACAGGATTACAATCACTCCAATTATAACGACCTTAATTCGACCTTATATATAAGACTGAAAATCGTGTGATTTTCGATCTACTTCTCCTCTTTCTAATGGCACGGCATACACGACGCCGACTGTACATTTGATTTGGAACCGGAGAACCGAGAGGGGAGGTCGAAAGAGAGCGAAGGCACAAAAGGCAGAAGGGTATCGAGTAAACAGGTCTCTTATGGGGCTCGCTCGGGGTAGCATCCCGACCAGAAGCAGATGGTCGAGATATATACCGCTTCCGAGGGAGCCATCCGGAGAGTTTGTGAGACACGCAGAGAGAAGAACGAAAAAAAAAAAAAAAAGTTTTTTCGTCGCTCTCGTTGCGAACCTACGCAAGAAACCTACGCGAAAGTGTACGCACCGTACTTACGATCGGGGAATGATGCACGATGATGGATGGAGCTGCAGTTTCGTTTTCGGCGACGGCCGGGCGGCAACCGTCGACGACGCCGCGAACAAACCGACCGACGTTTTCGACGACGAGGCGACGCGACTGAAATGTTATTCGGCGCACCGGAAGCGGAAGATAAACGATCCAACCCCCTGAACGTTGGCACGCAGTATCGTGACGTCGACGCTGGCACAGGATGCATACTCCCCCCTCCCCCTCCCCAGAATCCCCGATAACCCCGTTATCGTGTGAAATATCAAAGGCCACACGAAGGAAAGGAACTTTTTCCTCTTTCCGTGTGTAAAATTGGAAGAGGCCGGGGGAGGGGATGCGAACAAGAGACTTTTCTCACCCCTCGACGAATTCCGCGACGCGATCTCGCTGAGATCCGACTGGAGGACGCGGGTTGTCCGAAAACGGTCGTCCGAGACTGGCGAGAATCGCGAGGCGAGCCCATGCGTCGAGGGTGCGAACGAAAGCGTTACCGCCGAGTAAGTCATAACCTCTCGAGAGGGTGGATCCGATCCCGCCGAGGGCGGGAGCGAGTCCAAACACTCCGAGGATCGATAGTACAGGGGGGGAGGGGGAGGGAGAGCGGGTAGTTCGCTTACTTCGAGCTGGTTGAACAAGATGATGCGCGATGACAGTGACGACGATGATGACGATGAGTCGCCGGGTCTGTTGTGCGGCTTCTCGGAGTCACCCGGAGTTATCCGCGCTTCCTCAGTCCGTCTCGGGGCCGGAGAGCGGTGAAAACGGGGCGATACGCAACGAGAGCGGTTTCGGGTGTCCGCGAGCCGCCGGCGTCGTCATGCACCGATCCCGGGCAGAGAATTCCGGGCGGTTCTCCCTTCTACGTATATACACGCGGGACTTCTCCGTGGAGGTGCCGGGCGACGAGATGTCGCGCGTACACGAGGCTCGTGAGTCCTGGTGATCGCCGAGGGATCGCGGGAGAGAGACCGTTACGATCGCACTCGAGAGACGCCTCGAGAGACGCTAACGGACGGTTGAACGGAGCCACCGAACTCCCGTGTATTTCAAGCGAGCAGCGCTCGCGCACGCGGCGCCCTCTGCGGCCGGCCGAGCGGAACTGAAAATCAATATGGCGTCGCAAGCCCCCCCGTGTTGACGGCGTCTCGGCGAGACAAAGTACGGGGGGAATCAGCTGGCGAACGCTGACCTTCGTCGAGTCTTAGTTAGTTTGACAGTTTTCCGGAATCTGGATCGCGATGTCGGAAATATGCGAGCGTGCGGAAAGTGCTCGAAGGCTGAATACGAAGGATAACGCGTAGAACGCGCGCACCGAACGCGTTTATGTCCCGCTGAATTTTCACGTCGACGAAGCGCGATGAATTTACCATCCCGAGAGTGTCTTTTAATTGTTGATACACTTGTGATCGTTATTTGTAAGCGAATCACGTCGTCGTTTTAAGTAGTAAGTATTGTCGGAGAATTAGCGTAAAGTATCGCAAGCAGGATATGAAAGGTTTGTTTTCTATTTCTGCATTATCGGCTGTATCCTGACAGGAAAGTGTTGCTGACTGTCGCACAAGTTGGCCAGTGATAAATTATCGTTGCTTAGTAGTTTTATTATTTTATCAATTATTTATCACTGGCCAGTTTATCGCAGTTTTTACTGTTTTTAGATGTTTACATCTATCATAATACAAATGTAAATAATATGTATGAAGATTAGAGTTTTCCTAGACAATGAAAAGATTACAATATTTATATTTTAACATATAGCATTTGACACTCAGATATACAAGTTAAAACTATTAGAACAATCGCTGTTGGAAATAATAACTGTTCAATTCTATAGCTGTAATATGGCGCGCCATGTTATTCTTTGTTTCTGATTGTATACTTGAGCACTCAGGCTTGCGTTAGTTCGGTTCTAGCATGGTCTCAGTGCAAGAATAGGGAACAAACTTAAAATTGACAGTTCATCATAGACTAGGCATTTTAATTTCAGAATCTCCCCCGTCTCTCGACCCTGTAAGGACTTGACACATAGATCTTGATAATGTTTGTGTATCTGAGCAAGAAGATCTCCATACCGAATAACTTTCGACTGAACTGCATAGCATGGAACCAAAAGGACGGCTACATCGCCGTCGGGGGAGAGGATGGCCTGCTGAAGGTGCTGCGGGTGGATTCCAGTGTCAGTGGGTCACACAGCGGTGGAAGATCCCGAGGCTTGGCTGCGGCTAGTAACCTGAGCATGAACCAGCCGTTGGAGGGGCACAACGGTCACGTTCAAGTGGTCACGTGGAACGAGGAGCATCAGAAACTAACGTCGAGCGACCAGAACGGAGTGATAATCGTTTGGATGATGTACAAGGGTTCATGGTACGAGGAGATGATAAACAACCGCAACAAGTCGGTGGTGAAAGGCATGGCGTGGAGCTGCGACGGTCAGAAGATCTGCATAGTCTACGAGGACGGGGCCGTGATCGTCGGCTCCGTCGACGGCAACCGGATCTGGGGCAAGGAGCTGAAGAACATCGTGCTGTCCGCCGTGCAATGGTCACCGGACGGTAAGTTGCTTCTGTTCGGCTTGAAGAACGGGGAAGTCCATCTCTACGATAATCAGGGTGTGTTCCTGACGAAGTTGAATGTACTCTCGTTGAACACCAGTCAGCTGCAAACGATCACGGCGTTGCAGTGGTACGACGGGAAGAACGGCTACGTCGCCGTCGACTGTCCCACATTGGCGATCTGTTATCGCAACGGTAGGATACAGCTGATGCGCGACACCAACGACGACAATCCGATTACAATGGAGACCGGCCTGACCGCCTCCTGGTGCTGCTGGAACAGTTGCGGCTCCCTCTTGGCGGTCACCGGTATGATGCCGTTGCTCAACAACGGGGAGACCAAAGACACCAATGTTATCCAGTTCTACACGCCGTTCGGCGAGCATATGAGGACCCTGAAGATACCGGGCAGGGAGGTGACGTGTTGCGCATGGGAGAGAGGCTCCCTCCGGGTCGCACTGTCTGTCGACTCGCACATATATTTCGCGAATATCCGACTGGACTACAAGTGGACCTACTTCGGCAACACGGTGGTCTTCACGAACGAGAAGGTCGGCAAGGACGGCACCTGCGTCACGTTCTGGAACACCAGCGGCAATACGTGTTGCACCAAATACGTGAGATCCCTGATATCGATAGCCTCGTACGGGGAGCACTGTGTGCTGTCCGTGAAGAACGATCCCGCTCAGGCCACCGAGCAATACGCCCTGCTCGTCTGCAACACTATAGCCACGCCCATAGACTCCAAGTTCCTCGACCTGGAGCCGTTGTACCTGGCGATGACCGCGAATGCGGTGGTGGCCGCCTCGAGGAACAACTTCCTGCTGTGGAACTTCCGGACGCCGCGCAACTCGAGCTTCCACCCGGGCAGGATGCGCAAGTACAAGATCTACCACGTGGACGAGACGCCGACCGGTGTGACCGAGGTTATCCAGGACCTGGACAAGGACGGGTCGTACGAGACGCCCATCAGCACGAAGCCCACCGTCGACCCCATTTGCTGCGTCTGCGCCACTGAGAAGGTCCTCCTGGTCGGCCGGGAGTCGGGGATGATTCAGCGTTACTCGCTGCCGCAGATCACGCTCTTGAACAGGTACAACACCGCGTGCAGGCTGCACCGGATCGCCGTGAATTGCGACTCCACGCGCGCCTCCATCACCGACGCCAACGGTATCCTCAGCATGCTGGACCTGGACCCACAGAGAACGCCGGGCTCGCGGGGGGACTCGCGGGACGGGGATTCGGCCGACGACGTGTCCAAATTCGAGAGGAAGGACGTCTGGGCCGTGTGCTGGGCGCGGGACAATCCCTCCCTCCTGGCGATTATGGAGAAGACCAGGATGTACGTTCTGCGCGGGATCGACCCGGAGGAGCCCATATCCTGCTCCGGCTATATCTGCTCGTTCCAGGACCTCGAGATACGTTGCGTGCTGCTGGACGAGCTCGTGTTAAAGCCGGACGACACGCGTAAGGAGCTGATCGTCGATCTCGAGGTGAAGTCCCTGAGGGACACGCGGGAGCTGCTGGCCAAGGTGGGCTTGAGGGAGGCGAACAACTTCATCCAGGACAATCCGCACCCCCGCCTCTGGCGGCTGCTGGCCGAGTCGGCGCTTACCAAGCTGGACCTGGAGACCGCGGAGAACGCGATGGTGCGTTGCACCGATTACCTCGGCATACAGTTCATCAAGCGGCTGCAGAACGTGCACAACGATCAGCTGAAGCGGGCCGAGGTAGCCGCGTTCCTCGGCGACTACGAGGAGGCTGAGAAGCTCTACCTGGACATGGACAGGAGGGACCTGGCGATCGCGCTGCGCCAGAAGCTGGGCGACTACTTCCGGGTGGTGCAGCTGATGAAGATGGGCATCGGCGGTTCGGACAGGCAGATGGAGCACGCGTACAACAAGATCGGCGATCACTTCGCCGAGAGGCAGAACTGGGAGGGCGCCCGGGACTACTACGAGAAAGGCAGAAACCTGGAGAAGCTCATACAGTGTTACTACAAGCTGGAGGACTTCCCCCAGCTGGCGGCCACCGTCGATCAGCTGCCGGACAAGAGCCCCGTACTGAAGACCGTGGCGAGGATGCTGGCCTCGGTGGGTATGTGCTCGCAGGCGGTGGCGGCTTACATCAAGTACGGCGACGTCAAGCTAGCCGTGGACACGTGCGTCCGCCTGAACCACTGGGACCAAGCGGTCGAGCTCGCCAGGACCTACAAGATGGCGCAGATCGGCGAGCTGCTGAACAAATACGCCAGTCATCTGCTGTCGAACGGCAAACGCCTGCAGGCGATCGAGCTCTACAAGAAGGCGAATTACAACCTGGAGGCGGCGAAGCTGCTGTTCCGTCTGGCCGAGGAGCAGGCCAGGTGCAGGTCGCACCCTCTGCGCGTGAAGAAGATCTACGTTCTCGCGGCGTTGCTGATCGAGGAGCACATAAACAGCGTGCCGGCGATCAAAGGCGGCCGCAGCAACGTCGTGATGGGCCTGACCGAGAGCAACGAGGACACCAGGATCATAGAGAACGCCTGGCGCGGTGCCGAGGCCTATCATTTTCTCCTGCTCACCCATCGGCAGCTGTTCGACGGCAGTTTCGACGCGGCGATCAGGACGGCTCTGCGACTACGCGAGTACGAGGACATATTGGAAGCGGAGGACGCCTATTGCCTGTTGGCGCTGTCGAGCGCCGTCGGTCGCGCGTTCGCCACCTGCTCGAAGGCCTTCGTCAAGTTGGAGTCGCTCGAGACGGTCGCGCCGAACAAGCGGGAGGAGTACGAGGAACTTGCGGTGGATATCTTCACGAAGCACGTGCCGAAGGACTCCCGCAGCAGCAAGGCGGAATGCGTCAACTGCGAGACCCTGGTGCCCGACTGGTGCGTCTCGTGTCCGAACTGTTCGGCCCGCTTCCCCGCCTGCGTCGTCTCGGGGAAGCCGTTGATGGATCTCAGCGCCGCGTGGATCTGCACCGTCTGTCGGCATCACGTGGCGACCGAGCGCGACGTCGTCAACATCAACGCCTGTCCTCTCTGCCACAGCACCATCACGTACATGTGAACGCTAGTCGAGAGCGACTCGGGCCGGTCACCTGGACAACTTAGTGGTCGAAATTGCTCGCACTCATGAGATAGTTTTTTTTTTTTCGGCAGCCATACGCCTGTTTTGCTTCTTCTGCCTCTTCCGCCTCGTCGAGCCGAACGACCGACAGTCCTTGGCGCGTAATTTCAGGACCGACGAATTTTGTAAAACCTGCAAGGCGCTCTTTAATTAATGAAAAGTTCGTATCGAGATCACGATAGTTCCACGGTAGACGCAATTATAACGGCGTAATTGGCCACAGTTATGTAAGAAAAATCCAATCCATATGGAGTACGTTTCGGGAGGAATGAAAGTGAAAATTTGATACGTGATTTAAAAGTATGAATAGCACCAGGGTTCTCTGCAATCGTTCAAGAATTTAACGCTAAAACTATCAAAGCGGTGAGATGACTGGTTTGTAATTTTTTTTTTCTTATGAAAGTTACTCCTATCTCTAATGGTGCATTTTCCGAGATTAACCATAATTTTTGTCGCAATTTGTGAATGAATATTTTTCCCTTTGCATTACGCATTCTTTCAAAAATCTTATTTAAACAGGCTCCGATAGAAAAGTGCACGTTATTCGTCGTTGATAATTTTAATGTTAAGCACACATGATCCATTTTTTCTTTTTTTTTTTTAATATCATTGACAAGCTTAACCTTTAAAAAAATGAGAACCTTTAAAGAAAGAGGTAAATTTAGTAAAAAAAAAAATGGCACAATTGGTAGAAAATAAAAATTATTTTTTCTTTTTTATTAATTTTAAGCACCCACAAGACTTGGATCTTTTTATGTAGAAAGACTTTTTATGTATGAATTATCCATTGATACTCATCAACCATTGGTCTTGAAAAACATGATTTAAAAACTCCCAAAAAGGGAGTGTCTCAGAGATCTTATGAAGTTGACAGAGTCTTGAGGTTGAACGCAACGACGTTGTAACTTAAATTGCACCGTCAAAGGATGAACGGGAGAGGCAAAAGGAAGAAAATAGGCTCTCGACAATTACCTCGAAAGTGCAAGTAATTCCGAGCGCTAATTTAGAGCGATACACATAGTATAATTACACATAGTATAATTATATTTGAGGCAATCGTAGTATTAAGTTCTGTTACACGGATAGTTGTGTGATGCATTTATTCTCTATACACTGAAGTACAAGCTCTTGTTAATTTTATGCTATTTTCTTACAAGATGTGTCATAGATCGATTTTCATAGTCCGGTCTTATTTTTAAGATTGTCTTCAGTTTGCCTTCAGATGCTCTATAACCAATCAGACGATCTGCACAGCATCTGAAGATAAATTGAAGAATAAATCTTCAAGAAATCGAACTTTTTATTCTTATTTTAATTTCTTAAATTGAAGAATAAATCTTAAATTTTAGATTTGACTATGAATACCGCTCATAGTAGTAGTATATGTGATAATTCTCTCTTTTTTTAGATAATAATTTTTCGAGACAGGGTGGGCGATTTCCCTTGACACAGTATATCATAAGAAATCCCGTAAGTTTATGAAAACCTGTGAAATATTGTGCTGTGCGCATTATAAGGTTCCGTCCAATTTTTCCGTCCAATGTTGCTAATTAAATGATCTCGGAATGTTCCGGTACGAAATAGCTATATCTTAAATTTGTTTATTTATTTAGTATATTAAAATAAAATGTTTAAAATAAATTTAATATTTTAAAACAAAACGACCTTTGAACAATAAATTACGTGGTCTTGACTCGGCCCTTAATCGGGATTCAAATCCACGATCATAACACTTCTGAAAGTCGCCTAGTAATTATATTTCAATGATTATCTGTTCTCAACGATTGTACTTCAATATATACGGATAGGTAAATTAAACAAAAAAGTGATTTTCAATTATATCAAGTTATATAAACGCTATTTATATGCGATTTTTTATGTATATGGTGCAACTTTACGAATTTAAAGAATTTTGATATATTAGATTTTGATTTTGATTCATGTAATACGAATGAATATGTAAACTTCATGTTTGATGATATATCTGAAAATTGAAAACTTCGAACTCTAAAATGTTTCCCAAATTATATAATTATCATTATTTTCGTCAAAGTTTTACTGTATTAAATATAGCTCATATTTTCCAATTGAGAAAAATGATTCTGTTGAAGGATCGATTCTTCGTGCCATAAGGAGAATTGATTCTTCGATAGTAATCGAACATCAATTCATTAGTCAACAGCGCCTCTATCGCCGATATTCATAGACGAATCTTATATTTAAAGTCGGTATTCATGTCGGATCTTATATATATATATATATATATATATATATATATAAGATCGTCTTAAGTTTATCTTCAGATACTGTATGGCTCATTTCATTGGCTACGAAGCATTTGAAGATAAATTTAAGACGATCTTAAATATAAGATGCGACTATGAATATCGGTCTATAATTCCCATGCACTGGAATGGTGTTGGAGATCATCCTAGTGGAACTTTTGGAATCAATACTGAGAGAAAGAAAAATTCCTATGACGCAGAATGCTGTAGCCAATAGCCTCGTTAAGATAAAGCGGCAAGTTGATTGGCTCCTGCCTGCGGTGATGCGAGTCCTTTCACGACAGCCATCACGGCCACTGATCGTCACGCGTACTGTTGCAGCGTTCTCTTTCGTTCATGGTGCGTGGTATCGTTTAGGTGTTGTCACGATGAAGGTAAAGATCCACGAATATTTCAATGATCTTATGTTTCTCCCGAAAAATCAAAACGTTTCACGGTACGGTGTAACGCCACGGTTATTGTGAGACCCGTATTTTTGTTGAAGTCACGTATTTTACACGCGACTTTCATCATGAACAACCTTGGTGCCGAGCGATCGTCCCGACTCAGAACCACTCAGTTTTGCGTCAATTCATGGTTAACGCGGATATCACGTATTTTTCTCGTTATTACTTAATTTCGAGTTGACTAAATTGACGTAAAACGGAGTAATTCGTTCTTAAGTGCTGTTGTGTTTTTACTAAAAAGAACCTAACCTCAATTCAAGTACCTTGAGTGTAGTCGAAACATTTTTACGAAGCACGTGTTACTTTTACAGCTGAACGTATCGTATCCCGCGACAGGATGTCAAAAGCTGTTCGAGATTTCGGATGAGCACAAGCTAAGAATCTTTTACGAGAAGCGTATGGGCGCTGAGGTTGAGGCCGATGCGCTTGGAGATGAGTGGAAAGGATATGTTGTCCGCATCTCCGGCGGTAACGACAAACAAGGCTTTCCGATGAAGCAGGGTGTCTTAACAAACGGTGAGTTTGAGATACACCTGTATTTGATGTGTCGTATTGATATTTATCAGAGAATTAATTCTTTAAAGAACAAAGTTGATCATCCTATTTCTTCATAATTTATTAGTAATCAATAAGTATCAATATTATCTGCAAATTCTCAGAAATTATTAGGATAAATGGTTAGTGCTACCATCTAGTCACTTTGTCATTCTTTTTGACAAGTTATTAAAAAATCTACTATCGTCCAAAATGGACTGTAATCACTATAATCGTTTTTTTTCCTGAGTTGCTGTTAAATTTGTAAAATCCTATATATATTTTTGCCATCTTAGTAAAAAAGCTCTAACAGCTTATTTGTATTATTTATATTTTTTAGTCTTGTTATGAACTTTCATAACCATGAAAAGAATTCGCTATGTATTAAATTAATTAAAGATAAACCTGAGAAGATAAGAGTAAGCGTTATTTTTTCGTTTAAATGATCTTAGTTACTCTTAGAATTTGATTTAAAAAAGTATCATTTTTGTTTACTATTTTGATGTCTGAGAAGTCATTTTTTATCGTTTTTTCTCCCAAGAAACATTCATTATTTTACTTTTGTGTTTTGATGACTAGATGGCAGCGTTAAATGGTAAACTTTGTTGATACATATCTTTTTTTCAAAATTCTATGTTGTACATTAGGAAATTGTTTAAATAGTTTCTGGTATATATATATGTTTAACGTGCCATGATATCTGTATGCAGGTCGTGTACGTTTGTTGCTGTCCAAGGGACATTCCTGCTACAGACCCCGACGCGACGGTGAACGTAAACGCAAGTCTGTCCGTGGTTGTATCGTAGACTCAAACTTGTCTGTACTGGCTCTCGTCATTGTCAGAAAAGGCAAGCAGGTAATGCGCAATCGCTGGCTATATTGTATTTTCTTAGGTAATATTCTTGTAGGACCCCATTCAATATATCGATATATTCAAGGTGATACTCAACTTTCCTTGAATATTGTCAAGAATGGGAGATAAAACTCGTTTCTTGATTTGGGAAACTGCGCTATAGTATACGTGCCTTTTTCTCAGTGTACGAGCGAGACACCTTTTCGTTTATTATTCAACTTTTGTAATAGTTTAAATAAATATCGTATAAATGATTTTCTATGTATTATATGTGTAAAATTCAAATTGAAAAGTAATTGCTTGGCCTCATCAAGGTCGATAATCATTAAAGCACCAAGCCAATGAAATTATTTATGACAGTTTAATAGTATAATGCAAATTCGTTGTAGGAAATCCCAGAGTTGACGGACAAGAACGTGCCACGTCGTCTGGGACCAAAGAGGGCGAGTAAGATTCGCAAGCTCTTCAATTTGTCCAAGAAGGACGACGTCCGTCAATTCGTGGTGAAACGTCCTGTACAAAAAGAAGGAAAGAAGGAACGTTTGAAGGCGCCGAAAATTCAGCGCCTTATTACTCCAATTGTTCTTCAGGTATGCAGTTATCTTCAGAGATTAAAGATGACATTTCTCAGAAATATTAAAGATAAAAGTACACCAATTAACATAATAATTAAATTAACTCAAATTGCCTTTGCAATTAAAAAGGAGAAAGTTAATATTTAAAGCAAAGGGCTCAGGGATTCATCGATGCGTCTAATTTAGATTAATTCTAGCAAGTTTGGCGATCAATGCGATTTACAATTTGCATAGAAATTGGCGCGGTGCAATTTTAAACGTAAACACTTTTGATGGATACTTGCAGAGGAAGAGACATAGGTTGGCGTTGAAGAAGAAGCGTTGCCTGGCACGCAAGGAGCAAGCCGCCGAGTACGCGAAGCTTCTGGCGCAGAGGCAGAAGGAGGCGAAGAACAGACGCCAGGAGGAGCTGAAACGAAGACGCAGCGCCTCTATGCGCGATTCTAAATCCTCCAGCCAGTCGGCGCCTACGTCGCAAAAGTGAAACGACTGAACTCCTACAATGTATTTACAAATTAATAAAAACAGTCCAAATTACGTTACCATTTCGACCTTGAGATCTGTTCAAGTATAATACGAGATGTGGAGGAACGAACTATCCTACCAATTTTATTTATAATCGCGAAATCTGTCTCGAGAGTTTTCGTATTAGCCGCCGAATATCGAGAGAACATCGTATAGGTTGGCCTTTCAGCGTTCCGCCAATCAGCTGATTCTGGCGAAGGATGAGGGCATGAGATAACGGTTAACAGAAAGTAAACAGCGCCCGACGCGTGTGCCCAAACAAATGAAGATCGACTGAATACCAGCGTTCTCCGGTTCTGTCCGTGGCGTTGAAAAATTATTACAGAATTGTTGGTAAACATGAGTTGACTTTCTTCGTCCTGGAAACGCGTTTTGTCCGCGCAGTTCGCCCGTTTCTCCCGGCCTCGAGTCTCTCCGTGCTGGGCGCTACGAATCTCTCTCTCTCTCTCTTTCTCTCTCGAAATCGTGAATCGTCGAGTGCAATAATCGCGAGTCCTCTCTCTCAAATCGGAACTCCCGTGATCTCGGCGAATCTCCTTCGGTATGTGCAACCTTTCACGATCATCACGCTTTCTGTGTGCGCTTCCTTTGTTCTTCCTCACTGCTGAGGATGAACAGTGTGTGTTTCGTTCTTGCGTGCGATGAAATTGATACACCGTCGGTTCTGTGACGTTTAGAGGGGAAACAGAGAAGAATGTCGCGAAGCGAGATCGGCGGCTTTTGATGCTCAAGGCGAAACGATGAGAATTTTGAAAGAGACTTTGCTCTTACGTTCTGTTTTGCAAAATTAAAGATAACGTTAAGTAAAACTTGTATACGTTTGAACTTAATACGTTGATTGCCGGGCTGATTTTTCATTGATTGTACGAAACCTGATAATTAAAATATTAAATATGTGGTACGTAAATATTATTTTAGATGCATATATTTTTTATTTTGTTTTACATTACCTCTTTATTGACTGTGTATGTTTCACGTATGCTTTACCATTCCTAGATCGAGAATTACATTATTAAAAAAAAGAAAAATCACGCAAGTAACTTTAATTATAATGATTCTAATTATAACGATTTTGACTTTATATATATACATATAAGTCTAAAAATTGTATAATTTTTTTATTTAGAGAATGATAACCCTGTAAGAAACATTAACACAACGTTATTATAATGATATTTTATAATATGTAACGTCTTCAAATATATAGCTCCTAATATCGTATACAATGTCATTGTTAACAATATTTAGCCCAAACATTAAAAATTAAAAATAATATATTTATTTAAAAATAATATTTTCCAATACTATGATTTATTACTTAAGAATATTATATCATCAAGTGATAGTGTAAAAATATTTGTGAAGTATTATGTCAAAATGTTTATAAATTCACATAAAATCAATATTTCGAGAGATTGATTTAATGTTTCTTGCTTGCTGGGGAAACATACGTGGCACCATGTGTATAAAAAATTTGGTAGATATAATTAATTATACTTTGCGTGTAACTTAATAAGATAATTCAGTAACGTCAATTAGCGATAACCACCACTTCGTTCAATGTGTTAACCAATTAAAACGTATAGATCGATTTTGACCTACCCACGCTTCTCAAATTGTAATCCAGGACAGAAGAATGTCGGTGAACGAAGGAACGAGACTCGAGAGGAAGGAGAAGTGCATAAGCTTAATGGGAGACGAGAAATCACTCGCGAAAGTCGGCGCGGCCAAGAGGGAGAAGCGTGCCACGCCGCACTTTGAGCTGCACACGAAGTCGTCCTTGCTGAAGAGGAAGGAGCCGAAGCAATACCCGATGGTGAGCCTGAAGAAGTTCCAGAATCCCGAGGGGGGTCGCATTTGCAAGAGACGAAGTGGAATAGTGAAGCAGAGCAGGAGCATGCAAGCTTTGAGGGCGGTCCTCATGCGAGAGAAGGACCCCCTTCAGGTGCTTGATTCTCTTCCAAGCAAGGTGACGAAGACGGTGCTTAGCTCGGAAAAAATCGTGAAGAAGTCGACCGTTCTTCCGCGGAGTGATTCGATCGAAAGTGTGCTCTGTGACGTCGGAAGATGGATGGAACGTCTGACCAGATTAGAGATCGAACCTCGGGACGAAACGACGCAGGAAACGATCAGGGAATCACACGTGGGAGATTCGCACACCTGCCCTCAAGACGATCGGCCGAGCGAGCACTCCCGCGACGCTCAACGCAGCGTGGCGATTGCGCTCATGTCCATGTCCCTTCAAGACAGCGAGACACGAAACGCCTTCAGCTTCATCGAGGATCACCCGTACGTGGAATGCCGTCGCAGAAGTCAGCCAGGCGACGACGAGACCGAACGTTGCAAGATTGAACTTCCTTACCGCGTGTCGGCAGCCCGAGGGAGGCCCGAAGATGCTCCTTCGGACGGGGAACGCTCCATTAATCCTTTCAAGTCGAAAATGCCGGTAGGAATCGCCAATAGTGGGACGTTTAATCCCGTTAGACTCGAAAGGGTCGACGCTGAAGTGTGCCAACACATCGTGTCGTCGAACGTCACTCAGCGCAAACGGAACGCTCGGACGACTATCGGGAGAGTTGCGATTCAGAGCGGAAACGTCACCGATCAGCGTGATTTCAACTTGGGGGACTCCGAGAGCGCGAAGTTCACGAAACCAGTCGAAGATACCCAGTCGGTCGCGAACAATTTCACGACGTCCAGCCGAAAGAGGCGTTTCTATCGAAGAAATTACGTTTCTTCTAACCCACCGGCTTGGAAACCGGCCGGAGTCAAGAAAACGCCTGCCGTGCAGGAGAGCGCAGCGTCCTTGACGCAAAACTCGTCCCGATCGTCGATGGTGAAGTCGGCCGCTTCGACGAAGAACCAACAGTGGAGTAAACGTTCGACGATCGAACACACCGAGTAATGTTCTCTCAGGATATTTTCCACTTTTTTTTTTATAGATTAGCTTGTCTACATTCTCCCGGATTATTACGAATTTTGCTTGCCCTTCTAGATCGCGCGAAACCTCTTATGTCGAAAATATAAAAGAATATGACGATATGGTAATGGAAAAGATGTTTTGGAAATTAAAAAAAATAGAGTTTGAAATAAGTATAGCGTGTACAATATCGTTCGAATCGATATCACGATGGAACAAACGTGCAATCTGGAGGGAGTTTTAACCCTTAGCTGACACACGGGGTTAAAAGTACCCCAGAGTGTTTTTGAACGCAAATTTTTCATAGCTGCGCGCCAAATTTGGTTCTGTGGCGTCACCTAGTATTAGTCGAGGCTTGACCCAATATTGATAAATAAAACAATTATACACATTTTTTCTCGCTGGGATCCAAAATACCCCCTATAGCACGTACGTTATTATTTTGACGTGTGTCAGCTAAGGGTTAATTTTGTCTCTTCTGTTATTAAATTTCAGGCCACTCGATAACAGCAAGTTTATGAACGTGCCTGTATCTAGAAGACGGTCCAAGGTGTCGATGAAAGAGAACAGAGATCCTCGCGCAGATCACACGAAATGCGCGTCAAAGATTGGCGAACATTTCAGAGACATTGAGTAATTAATTAATTTTATTTATTCATTTATTTGTTTATTTATTTAGTTGTATATCTTCATTATTTCACAGCTTTTTTCAAGAAGAGAGACCTGGTTCATACTTTGATCTTACCACACTCATTCACTCATATTTTAATTCTATTTAAAAATTATTTAAATTTCGCCTTTTTATACGTAACTATACTAATTCTTCGAATCTTCTATGTTCTTCTTGCCTTTTTTTTTTTATAATTAATATGTCCATAATTTAATCTAACGTAATACATTTTTTTTTATACAGGACATCACTCCATCGTATTATTCTGTACTTACAACCTTGCAAATACTGCTTATACGCATCCTTAATACGTTATAATTATTTATTCAGTTATTCATTAATTCGTCAAATTGACGAGGGAAAAATATACAAAATTAATACTATAATATGTAGAAATTTTTATTATATATTTTTATCTTAAGAATAGATCTCTTCAAACAATCCGATAATATTTACTCGGCAATTGCTTCCCATTTTTTCTTATAGAGAAGAAATAGAGGATACAAGACGAGCGAAAAATCTGCCGGGTCCGAGGTCGGGATCGAGGTCGAGGTCGAAGTCACGATCGCGACGCTGGCAGTCGGCCACGCGGAGGAATCCTCCGAGAGGTCAACGGGATATCGACGACGAGGCTCGTGTCGAGGCCGCTCCGGTTTACAAAAAGAGATCGAGATCTTCGAAAGTGATGTCCACACTGAAGAAGATCATCGACAGCTCGGTGAACGGCGAAGACGCGGCGAAGAACGTCGCGGGCGTGCCCTCTGAGAGAGAGAGGAAATCTTGGAAATCGACCAGCATCGTCGGCACGCAGACGTCGCCTCGTAACAACAGGCATCTCGTCGAAGCCGGTTGCAACACGATGCCTTACCAGGCCTTCTGCGCGGACGCCGGGGTCTCCTGCGATCTGATCGACTTGACAAGCTTGAAGCTTGACGACACTGAGTCGAGATCGACGATAATTCAAGTTAACCTGGAGGACGCTTCGATTCACACGATCGTGGCACCTCGTCTCGTCGAACACGATAAGAGCGACGTTGAGAGTGATTGTCTCATCGTCACCGAGGGACTCTTAATCAGTGAGCACGAGAAGACGCTGATGGCGGATGCCGATTCAGATGCAGAATCAGAGGGATATTCTGTCAACACGACGAAAATCGAGTCGGCAGAGACGTTGAATGAAGCGACAGACGGTAATTGTGAGTCCAGCGCAACGACGATCGCGGGCGGGGAGAAGGAGATTCTCGGGGCAAAATCGCCGGGAGATCTCGACGTTTCGACGAGAATCGCCGGCGATGAACACGAAGAGTCCACGACGAGTTGTGTCAGTGAGCACCGAGCGATCGATACGTGGCCGAGGAGCTCCCGCTGGACGTCGTTGTCGCTGTACGACTACGACGCGTCGTGCTCGGACAGTTCCGAGGAGCCGACGGAGCGGCCAACGGACGACGCGCCGGATAGCATTCCCGGCGACGTGTTGGTGGCCTTCCAGTTAGCCGCGGAATACGCGCGCAATCTTCAGCGAGCCGTCGCGCTCTACAACGAGAGCCTGATGTCCGGGGAGGTTGGCGAGGTTCGCGGGACGTCGACGCACGACGAAGGTCGATTCCATGAGAGCGCGTCCTTCCTGAGCTGCCGGGCCGACGCGAACTTCGAGGACGGCTCCTCCTCCTCCTTCGTGTGTTCCTCGAGCAGCGGAGAGTCCGTTCGCGCCGGGCATCAGTTGGAGCTGCGAGATCGCGGAGCCGGTCGAGAGGAAGAGGACGTAACGCGAAGAGGCGAGAAGACGTCGTCGACGATGTTGGTGCCGAAACACCGCGACCTCCAGCTCATGGACGTGAGGTCGCTCGCGCGGCTGCTGCTACGTCGCACGCGAGAGGAGGAATGCGCGCTCGAGCTGCTGAAGATGGAGGGACTCGCGAGAGACGAGAGGCCTCGGGCGTCCCCCCCGCCCGGACTCGTCCCGATCGCACTGCGCGGACACCTGGTCCCCTTCGTCTACTGCCTCCTGTGCACTTTGATCTTCTGGTATTTCCAGGCCTCGTTCATATGCCGCTCGGACGAACCGTGAGACCTTCCCCCCCCCCCCCCCTCCCCGAACCGGACCTCGCAATCGCCCTGTATCGCGCGGTATCGGGAGCGCCGACGCGCTCGTTCATTTTTACGCGGTGACATGGAAGTGAACACGCGGATTTTGATATCTGGTGACCCGGAAAAGTTCCTGCCGTTTTTATTTGAGAGAAATTACAAAAAATATACTTTTGTTTTCAAATTAATTTTATTCGTCGATGTATGAAGCTTGGAGTTGCGTCGCATAGTTCGAGATTATGTGTCGCGCACGCTCGGTCAGTTGGCAGTCGTAAAAGTTCGTGAAATTGTGACCAACTTTGAGTCGGCAGGAACTCTTCTGGTTCCCTGAGATTTCCGGTAAATTATAATACGTTACGTTTTGTTTCCCGTTCCAATAATAAATGCGCCGTAGCCCGTGCGCGCCGTATGTGCGGCTTGTGTCGATTGTATACTTGCGTTAGTTCATCGCTTTTATTCTGTGTTCTACGTTTTATGGAAAAATATAAATGTGCGAATATGTGGGAGGGTAAAAATCCGGATGTAAAGTTTGAGAAGGCCGCTTAGACCATACTAGTCCTAGTCTATAACAGGTGCTTTAAGCCTTTAGCCTTAAGAAATTGACCAATCACGTTCGATTATTCCCACATTCGACTGTGATTGGTCAATTTCTTAAGGGTTACAGCTTGAAGTATCTATTGCAGACCAAAACTTAAGTGGGGTCTACAATAAGAATTTAAGCTCTAAAACCTTAAGAGATTGTCCGATCACAATTGATTATTATTCTTCTATAATTCGATTGTGATCGGTCAATTTCTTAAGGCTTAAAGCATTGTATTGTAGACTAGGGTTTACGTATATAAAGCGAGATCTATAATGAGAATTTAAGCTCTAAACCTTAAGAGATTGACCAGTCACAATTGATTATTTTTCTATAATACGATTGTGATTGATCAATTTCTTAAGGCTTAGAGCTTAAATTCTCATTGCAGACCCCGCTTAATGCGAGCAACCACCTCGCTTTCCTCGTCTTCCTCCTTTTAGTGTAAGAATTCTGTTTTGTACATTGGTAATGTTATTATATAACATCAAGCAAGTAGTAAAAGTCCGCATAAAATGGTGATTCAAACAGTGAACGCGCCCGCTCCGAATTAAAATCCGAGGTTCCGCAGCCGGCCGTTCACTCGGCGTCAAGGACGTTGACGGTTGCGCAACCGGTGATGTCGACCAGCTGCTTCGAGGCGAAAGTAGCGATTATCTTCTGTTCCCCGGCTTTCTGGGGCACCAGCTGGTGTTCCACGTGGACGTCCTCCTCCGGCCCGACGTCGCGGAACGCCAGGGTCTTGTTTCTCGATAGACCGGGCCCGGCGTAATTGAACTGGCAGTCGGTCAGAGTCATCTTCAGGGGGTTTCTGAAGCTCAACGTGATGGTCGACGGTTTCCCGACCATCGGTTCACCTTCGATCTGTAATATGAAATAAAAAGGGATCTAGAAACGACTGTTACTACCTGGACAGGTTTTTATCAATAGTCGTTATTTGAAACTCGTTTCAAGCGAAGCACTTGGATTTGAATTTAGAATCACCGAACTGAAAGCCTTTCAGTTGAATCGCGATTACAAATGCAATGTTACATATATGTGATCCAAATAGGAAACTCTCAGACCTAATTCTAAATTCAAATCCAAATATCACGTGAGACAAGTTTCAAATATTAAATAACGGTTACAAATATCGTGTCACATATTATATGATTCGATTGAAAAAAACAAAACAACTCGAATCTAACTCTAAAATCATTTGAATATTTCACGTGAGAGGAGTTTCAAGTAAAAAACGATCATTAATGCGGGACTTGACACTAATTCAATTATCTCGCTCGAGATAGGTTTCAAATCACGACTATTGATACCGGTTTTAGAGACATTCAAAACAAGTAAGATGCCTTTTAGGCCATTAGATTCTTATGCTGGACAAATACGCGTGCAGGACAATCCCGAATCTTGGAGCGATTTATCGTTAATTCATCATACCTTAACGTCGATATTTGGCTTCAGGACTTGGAAATCGTCCTCGTCCGCCCAAGTTTGCCGAGTCTCCTTGACCGTGGCGATGCAGTACAATTTCATGATGCAGTACTCCACTAACTTGTCCAAGTAGTCGTTCACCGTCACCGTGAGCCTCAATTGTTCGACTATGACGGGGAATGTGTAACAAAGATAAGATTCCAGTGTTCATACGTTGACTCGCGCGTCGCAAGACGTGCATTTCATCGCCGCTACAGACCATCCACGCGACGAAGTCTCGGATATAACGGACGACGACGCAACCAAGAGTAAACATATCATTCTTCGTGTTAATCATTGTCTCCGAGGAATTCCGACGGCAAAATTAGCGGCAAAAAACCGCGAGATCGCCGAGCAAATCACTCTGCGATCTCGCGGTTACTTCAGCGACAAAGTCGCTGCCGCAGCGGCGATGAAATGCTAACCCTATGCTAATCCTAAGCGCGTAATATTATTTAATATTAAGTAGTATTTCTGGAATCTTAATAGATGGTTATATGTCCACTCCTAATAATATTTAAAAAATAATATTTAACGTTTCATTTTATTGTAATATTATATATATTTTTAAAATATTCAACTCTATGTATATATATAATATACATAATTGTAGTTTTTATTCCAAATTTATTGCAATACCAATTGTTTTATCGTATAGATAAAGTCGGAAGAATTTCGTGTAAAAATACGTTTTGTACTACGAAAATTATGTACACGTACATATATATTTCATTTATATATTTTTTTCTGTGTTATTATTATTTTATTTTTTTTTAATATTTTAAAAATATTTTTATAATATTCCCAAGAATATTGTGTGAAGTGGACATATAACATCGATAGAAGATTCTTGTAATATTAAGAAATATTGCATGACATTCTTCGAATATTATAAGAATATTACTTTGATATTCGAATAATAATCTAGGAATATTACGCGTTTATAAGGGAACGCCGTTGATTCAGCGTTCTTCTCCTTTACGTTCTCCACGCAAATGTTCACCACGTCTTTATCTATTTCCCGATCAAGCGGACGCAAGAAAAAAAAAGCATGAAAAATGATCTGTCTCTCTCGGTTTCTCCACTCACCGGCGTTCGGTTGCAGCACGAAGTCACCGGATGCTCTCTTCACCAAATGCGCCTTGACCCCGGTGTAGTAAACGCTGCCGGCGGAAAGGATGGCCTGAATGGTGCGCGACTCGCTGGATTTATTCTTGATATTCACGGTCACAGCGAACGACTCACCGATATTCACGCGTTCGAGCTCGACGAGGTCGAACTCGACGTCCTCCTTACCCGGCGACGGCAACGAGTAGAACCTTTTGGCCATCTCGGTACTGCGCACCGCCCTGTACAAGGTCAATCTCTCGACCTCGGTACCTGGAGCCGAATAATAAAATAGAACCCTGGCAACGAATGAAACAAGTGGAGCAACAACGTTGTGCGACGTTACCTTCCTTGGCTTTGTAAATCGACGTGATGTCCTGCCTGTCCTTGTCTCCGTTGGGATCGAAGATCCATGGCGCCTTCGTCAAGATCATACGGCCGATGCTGCAAAAAGGAATCCACAGGTTGTTTGTTTTTTTTCGCGAAATCAAACCCACTCGGAATGCAACGTCGGCGGGAAGTCCCGCCGTCAAGGTGGGAGGGATGGCAGAGATGATATAACGCCGGTTGCGTTCATCCGTGACGAGCATTTAACGACGGACTCGACGACGTTTCCACGCATTGCCACGATGTAAATATATCTCTACGAGTATCGTCGAATTATGCAAATCGCACGGCAGCGCAGACGGCGCGCTTTACTGCCTCGAAGGATCGTGATGACCATCGTGAGCCACGTCGTGGATGTGGATTATCAAACAGCTCGTAGCTCGCGCGCTTCCGTTTTCGTCATTAGCACCCCCGCCCGTCGCTCCTGCGCAGCCGACTCGTGTTTTTGTGTCCCGTCGTGCCGCAATGCTCGTCATTGCTATTTCCATCCGCGACGAATTCGCTCGCTCTCACGCGCCGCAACGTGGACGTTCTCGATTTTTCTCCTCGTTCTTTTTAGAAAACTGTTCCTTATTACCTCGGGTATCTTCCGACGGTTCGGTCCCGGGCTTGGACACGCGTTTTGGTAAATATCCGAAACATCTAGTTCTACAACTCGTAATTCGTAAATTCCTAACGCGTGGAAGCGAAGTTGCGAGCGAACTTTCGATACGCAGGTAGAACAGAAAATCAGGATAATATGAAAACGACGAGGAAATATACATATAGATAGAAATATATAAATATAAATATATATACAGGGTGAATCACGCAACGCGATCAACTTAGTTTATTCCGCTGTTAATGGACCGATTGAAAACTTTTTGTCTAATATAACATGACCAAGGTGAGCTTTAAGATCATCATCAACGATCGATTTTTCTCGAATGAGACGATAGAATTTCTACTCAAACAAATAATACTTCGTATATGTAGTGTCGATGAAACCAATTCTAGTCGGATAGGTAGAAATGCTGAATCTAAAGAGACTTCTTCACCTCCGTGTATTAAGAAAGGAACGCTCTTTCGTCACTTACTGATACTTGTTGCAGTCGATTTTCGAGTAGCCGAGCTCACTCTCCGGGTCCTCCTTCCACCTCATAAGGTCCGCGTTCACGGACGCCACCATGAAGGTGACGTCGTAATTGTAGCCGACGGCACCCTGCTTGATGGCTTCCACCGACGCCGGGCCGCACTGGTAGAAGCTGTCCGAGGGCTCCTGAGGGGTGGCGTCGATCGCCTGCCAACCCCCGTAACCCTTGGGCAAGTCCGGCCTCGCCATCCACACGTCGTTCCACACGTGGTAGTTCCAGATGGAGTCCTCGCCCATGAGGTTGTTCGGGTCGTACTCGAGCTCCTCGTTGTTGATGTCGTAGTAACGGTCCACCGAGAGCGAGGCGTTGGCGTCGTGCGCCGACACCAGATTCGAGACTACGCGCGAGGGGATGCCCAGGGCGCGGCACACCGTGCTGACGACCCCGGCGAACACCCAGCATTGGCCATACTTGACCTCCTCCCCGGTCTCCCAGAACTGCTCCAGGATCGGCACGCTACCAGTCCAGGCGGCCGGCGCGGTACCGTCGCTGTATTCGCCGTCCCACCGGCCGGTTATCACGCCTTTGTCGTCGTTGGAGTTCACCTTCGAAGTCATTCGGGTGAAAATAAAGAAGAAGGACGGCTCACTCAGAACCTTCGTAGAACGGAGAAAATGACGATGTCGTGAGAACGATGTCGAAATGACCTGTTTCATAGTCGTTTTTTCTCGTCATTCTTACATCTTATTTTCATGGCCATCGTCATTTTTTCTTTTCTACCCGGGCCCCGAGAACGGCGAAATTTTCCTCGTGAGGAACACTCGAGCGTTTTTAGGAGCACTTCCTTCCCTTCGAAAAACGTAACGTTGCTCATAACGATGTTTCGCACTTACGATTCTCGAGATCGCCCGAACCATCTTGACCGGATCGCCCCTGGAAATCGCCTTGATACCGGATCTCTCGAGCAACAATTGGCAAGCCGGCAGCACACACGCGTCGAATTGGCCGAAGACCCATTCCCTGCCGCGAGAACTACCCCACGGACCCACCCAGATCTTGCCGACGTCACTGAGGATATACTCGTCGAGTAGCTTTTCGTCCTCCAGGTACACCAAGTCCTCTGTTGCCAAGAGATGTACAAATATTGGCTAATTTTTTTTTCTTTTCGAAAATTCTATATTAGATCTAAAATATTAATCTTTACTCTGGGCTTAATTCCGCGTCTCGGAAACGTGTAGTGATTAAAATTTGATTCTGAATCCTCCGTTATTCGCGCGAATGTAATCATTTTAACATGAAAGTAATTTTTTCGTAATATTTCTAATTTTTATGGAAATAGTACGTGGACTGTCATAAAATATATAAATAAGATTTTTATGATATAATTAAATAAGATAAGAAATAAGAGTTTTATATAGATAATAGACACTTCGATATAAATAAATAAGACTTTTGCAATATTAATATGAAATAAGGCTTTTATGATGCGCATCGTAACTTCAGGTAGAACAGGAAGTCATGATTATATTCAAATGATGTCGAAATAAGGAGAAGATGATTGAATCATAATCAGAAAGTGAGTTACAGTCACGTCCTCACAATTTCGACATCATCGAGATTTTCTTCTACTTAAGGAAGACGATACGCGCGAGTGAAAGAGCGAGAAATACGATTAGAAGAATACGATTCGTTGAACACGTTTAAAATCGTACCTTTGAGCCACGGGTTGAAGAGCAGGTAGATGTCATTTTCATAATTGAAGGTATTCGGCGCCTTTTTTCTGCCGAGGGTGTTGGTCTCCACGTTCAACTGCCACACTCCAACGGGGCTGTCGATAGGGCTCCTGACTTCGATGGAGAGATCCATCCCGTGAGAGCCGATCATCCGGACGCCCCAAGCCTCCAAGTCAGTGAGGTAAGCCTCCCTGTTGGTAACCGTGTTCACGCCTCTGGTCCCCTTCAGCACGTTCGGGTTCGGGCCGAAGCTGAAGAGCAGCCGCACGATGTCGGTCTCATCTACGTACTCGCGATTGAACCTCAGGGCGACATTAAAGGGTTGGCCGCGTCGGAGGATCGAAATCGCCGGATCCTGATGCACCATCTCGAAATTGAAGGTGTGATGAGTCTCGGCGTTCTCCTTCTCGTACATGTGTACCGCCACCACCTCTAGCGGCTCTTCCGACGACATCTGGAAAGGTATATCACGCTGTTTAGCAATAAATCGCACATATCTTATAAGCACGTAATGTTATTTAATATTAAGCAATATTTCTGGAATATTAATGGATGGTTATACGTCCACTTCTAGTAATATTTAAAGAATAATACTATTTAATGTTATTGTAATACTATATATTTTTCATAATATGCCAGAACATTATGCGAAGTGGACATATAACATCAATAGGACATTCTTATAATATTGCAAAATATTATATAACTTTCTTAGAATATTATAAGAATATTATTTTAACATTGAATAATATTCATATAATATTCTAGAAATATTACGCGCTTATAGCGGAGATCTTCAGAAAGTCATCTTGAAGATCTCTTGCTCTCACCAACGCTCATCAAGTCGAGCGTAACATAACATATATATAACAACTGTAATTGTTTAACAATATAACGAATGTTACTGATATATAAAGAAAACATTGCTATGAGTACGTAACTATTGTAATATATGTGCGACGTAACGATGAGGCATGTCGAAGATTGCTCACTCCGCATGCGCAACTTTTGCTCTTCTGTTGCGTTCGATTTGGGCTTGATACGCGCTGTAAGCGTCGTCCTACCTTTATTATCCGTTAACCAAAGAGAGATAGAATGGAACGCTTACAGCGCGTGAACGTTCAAATTGAACGCAGCCTAGGCCCGTTGTCTCCATTTTCTTCCAGCCTAGCGTATTGTGTGGATCTTAGTGTGTGTCAAGCGGATTTTAGTGTATGTTAAGTTGTTAAAAAGTACGAAGGGAAGTGTTTGCAGTTGGACATTTTTGCCGGTAAGTACAAGTCTATTTTTCTTTCATCGATGTCGTTTGAACTCTCATATCTTCCCGTTGGTTATTAAGAATGTAGTTGTTGCGTATTCCTCATAGAAAAACATACCTAACCTATTCGAAAGTGCGAAAATAATGGTAGTTTTACTTCGTAATATTTTGTATGAACATAATAAATATTGTCGTGTTTATATTTCGCAATGTTCTTCTGTGATATTAATAGGTCACATCATACGTATATATTCTGCTGATTGTTTCAGAAACAATTAGGTTTATTAAATATTAATAATTATGTCACACATATATACGTATACACACAGGAGGGCTCTGATAGCCCACATAGGTGATTGGCTAGTTTAATATAAAATTTTCTAATTTGTGGTCCAACGGAAAAACTTCCGAAAAAAGACACCAGCCGATGTGTGTGTGTGCTATCCATTAAGCGGATAAGAGGACCCTTCCTAAACACAACACAACACACACACACACACACACACGCGAAAAGATTTCTTTGATTTATCTTCGTATCAAGAATTATATTGCGCGAAAGTAATGTATTAAACATTTTGATCCCTAAGATATTAAAAAGACCTGTGCAGGGGAAATAGATAGTGATAATATTAACAACTGTAATTTAGAAACAGTTGCAGTGCAAGTATTAATAATTGTAATTCAAATGTAAGTTCAGAAATTAATAATTGCAATTAAAATTAAAATTAAATTAAATTAAAATTAATAATTGTAATTCAGATATAAGTTCAAGAAGTTCAGATAATCAATTTTGGCCAATTTTAAGTGCTATATAGTTGCAGATTTTTATACCAACCATTCGTTATAGGCATTTACCATGATAATGCGAAAGCAAAAGATGTTGATGGTTTTTATTTTTAGAAGAAGCAAAATCCATTCTTGATACCGGTTTAACACGTTAACTGCCACGCGCATTTCGGAGGAAATCTCCGTCAGGCCAAATCCATTAAAATTTTTTGATAAGAAATATTTAAGTATATTAATTATACGATCCTGAAATTACTTATTAAACTATGTAATTTTTTTAGTTTTATATCGTACTTTATACTGTCAGTCGACTGATGCGGCCCGAACGGAAAGTTCAGTGTCAGTCACTGATGACTGACGTGGCAATTAACGTGTTAAATATTAATAAAGTGATTTTTCGAATTAAAATTTAAATTAAATGCTACAATATATGACGAGCAAAATTATTCGTGTGATATTAAAGGTCACATAGATTATTTCAGCTGCAGTAAATACATGTGAGAAGCCCAGTAAACAAGATTATATTAACCCTTTGCACTCGAGGGCTCCGGAGCGGAGCCATTTAAAATTTGTCTTCAAACTCTTCAAACTCAAATGCAAATAGCAAGAGCGGAATATCTTATACACAATAGTTTTTACGATTTGTCTTTGTCCTTATGTTATGAACTGAAAGTTATTTGCGTTGTCCCCATAGCGGAGCCCTCGAGTTTGAAGACAAATTTTAAATGGCTCCGCTCCGGAGCCCTCGAGTGCAAAGGGTTAATGTTATATAAATATGATGAAACACCGAATGTTACAAGTAATATTGCATGAGTGTTTCCGGTAAGTTACTGGTTAGTTGTAATTTCCCGCTCATAGATGTAACATGTAATATAACGATGTTATATTCTGGTTATGTATTTTAACGATATTTCTGTTACATCGTTTTTGAGAATATTGTTTACAAAAGGAACTCTTTAAGAGCTCATATTCGAGAGTAGGATGTCCGACAATACATTCTTCAGGGATAACATATATATATATATATATATGATTGTACAGAAGATATCATACAACTGTGGGTTGAAATGAGCTTACCCTATGCGGTTGTACAATTTCCGAAGGAAGGGACGTACTCTGAAATTCCGACCTCGTGGCTTACAAAAGACTTTACTCAATGCAGATGGCCAACAACAAAAAATGTTACTTTCTTTCTCAAAAAGAATAATCCACCAAAGGCAGATTGGTTGCTTTGTGATGTCAAAGTAGAATGCTACTGCAGTGAGTATGCGTAAAAGTGACAGTTATTCCGAATATGAATTATGCAATTTGATCCAATTGCACTTCGTATTTATAGACACTTTAGAACAGGCACGGAGAAAAGCGAAGGGTGCTAATTACTTAACTTCTTACGAAGAAAACAGAGGACGTGGAAAAAGGGTTGTACACGAGAAAAAATACGACGATACGTACGATACTTGCGATAACGGTGTGTATGATGATTGTAATAATTCAATCTTATCAAATTACGTCTCTATTTGCACGGAAAACCAAAGTTCCCTTTTCGAAAGTTATTATTATTATTAATTTTAATATTGTTCCAGTGATTTAGTACGAAACCAACTATTCATATTTTACTAACGTCTTATAGATTCGCGTTTACGTAAGACTGCACACAAGAAATTAAAAATCGATAAGAATTGGGATTCTTCGTCGGATTCTTCGTCGGGAAAAATGTCTTTATGTGACAAACAATTGTCGCGGGAGAAGCTATCCTCTTGTGAACGAGTTTCACAAGTTGCCGTCAAAGGAAGCTTTTCTACGCCAAACAGTTCCTTGTGTGATAAATCACAACTGCGGAAAGGTGATCCGTTGCAAATGGATGAACTTAATAATATTAATGAACCGTTGACATTTGAACCTATGGAAGTTAATGTGCCAAGTAAGAGTTCGAAATTATTTAATTTTCGATGTTAATAATGTTATCTCAAGTAAATTGGTATGTAAAATAAAATGTGTACGATTGATACAGTAGCTTTTGTTTAGATCTCAATGTTATTACAACCGATTCTCCGTTAGCTACGGTTGGCGACATTGGTAAGAATCTTAATTTACATTTACCATTATTGCGTCATTATACATGTTGCGGATACACGATGACGTCCTAATCAAAAGCAATATAGTAAGAGCAAGCTTATACGTTGTTACAATTTATTCTTCTTCAGAAAAGCTGATTTCAATTTGTAAGGAGACATTAGAGTGTGTAAAAAGTGTCGACAAAAGGCTGGGAGCTTTGGAGAAAAGAATTTGTGAAACGGAAGACCCTACGATTAATATGTTCGACGGTATACTTCCGATTAATTCCATGGAGGACCTGATAAAGTTCGAGGAAAGTCTGGAAACTATTGAAACAAGAATGAATTTTGTAAGCTAATTTTCGAGTATAAATAATATTTATAAATATATATTTATAAGTCATATTTATAAATAATACTTATAAATCATATAAGAGCGTGGTAATACGTTGAATTACATTTATCTAATTACGTGTGAATGTGTTTACGGTCTAATGGATTACGTGCCTTCCAGGTCGAATTTATGAAGAAAATCGGAGGAAAAGACAACAGAAGTACAGTGCAACGATGTATGAGCCGTTTATTTACAAATGAATTTGGCATTGCTTGTTCTTGGTGTGGTCGCGGGAATAATTATCGCATGTGCGATTTGAAATGCATGCGCGTTCTAAAAGGTAAGCTGTCTGAATGAGTTGCATATTTGTTTTATTTTTCGCCGAAAAATTGGTGAAGTTTCATCGGTAATATTAATTATACTATTGAACGTTTCATCAGGTATATTGAGAACCAAGGGAATCGACGAGTGCGACGTCGAAATTGTAGCAAGCGAATGGTTCCGCCTCAGCAGGCTTCGGTATGACCGGGAAAATAAAAAAAATTGTTCACATACAGTCGCATCGGATGTTCGTCAGGTAAAGGTACCTGAAGACACTTGATCCTCCTTTTTGACATTTTTGAGTGCCTCAAAAAATACAAGAGGAATAAAGAAACATTCTTATACCAAACAACATCACAGATATTTTAACGGTGCAAGGTGTCCTCAGGATCATCCTGAATATGTCCAGGATGTCCTGGGGGATATTTTCGAAATATTTAGTTGTGTCATTTTAAATATATTATATGAATATTCTTGAATTCTTTGAATTGCGAAGTTCACCGTTGAACAGAGGCGATTAATGCAGAGGAGCATTGAAGTTCGTGATTCGGAATTCCTTCCGACTGACCTAATATTTAATTATCGCTCAAATGACGAGCATCGCATAGATATAAGTATGACTCAGTGCACGATATTTGCTATAGCGGCGTTGCACCTGCGAAGAAATACCGCGAGCGGATCTTAGGCGTGCGGTCAGTATCCGCCTTTGATTCACTCGGTTCGATCGTTGCGCAAAAGTCCGGGAAAAATTGCGCGACCCACCTGGCGCATCCCCCTTAAGGGCACGATCGATTGGCGACATCGATCGTGGCGGCCTCGATCTCACGCTGATTCACGTCTCGGTCAGACCGATGAAATGTGGGGAGCAGCGCGGCGCTCACGCATTCCTGACCTTCCGGCGAATCATCGCGAGGCCATCCGCCTATACAGTATATTGGTCGTGTGTAAAAATCAAAACCGGTATTCCGGGATCCTTCTTGTTCGAATAAATCACACGTGGTTGCGCAAAGACCTCCGCTCCCTTCGTCGACGACCCGGAGTTGCGTGTATCGTAACAACGTGTGATCGACTTTACGCGCGCATCCCGCTCTTCCTTCGATCGCGCGTGTCACTCGGGATATATTCGAGTGCGATTATCCGAGAGTCTCAAGTCGGTGATAATTTTAAAAGAGCCGGTAATATGCGTACACGGAGAAAAAGGTTTCTTTAGATCCCGCATTTCCATTTATTTCACTAAAATTAGCCTCGTGGAAACGACATAGGCGAAATATTGCTCGTTTGAGTGAATATTTTATTGTCTCATTCGAGGAAACTCGATTATTTAACAGGAAGAACGCTACTGTTTGAAATAATATTTTTTAACCGAGTGAAACATCATTGGGTTACGATAAATATGTGAAATAGGACGAATAATCTCCTTGTGAGAAAATTCCCTTTCGTCCCGAGCAAATCGTTTATTTAAGACAAAGATACACATTCGTTGAAAAGTCTAACGATCATCGAAAAATTGGTTTGGATGCGACGAAATTGATTAGATTTGAAGGAATCTTTTTCGCGGTGTGATTTGTTTCGGGTAACTCGAATCAAGAAGGAGAGACATCGTTTCGCGTGACCTTTCACTTTTCCCGATAAGCGGCGAGTGGATCGGAGATTCGGATAATAATTCGGCCGGGTCTCGTTCGAGCGATTTTTGCTCGTAACGTGATCCTCGTGTGAATTTCAATTTCTCTCGGCGGTTTCAGTATACACAGAGGGAAAAACGCTGTTGAATTAATAGATTGAAGTGAACCCTTCTTCACTCAATAGCAGCGTACAATAATTGAAGCTAATATGTTTTATTTTGTTTCTTAATAACTCAATAAGACGGACGAACTGCCATGGAGCTTTTAATTTCGCGAAAAATTCCGAGAGTCTGGTTGATCGCCTAGGATTATCGGAGGTATTTGCATCTCATATACTCGCTAAACCTCTCAGGAGGTATCCGCTTCTTCGTATAAAAATGTGCCGCAATGCTTGTGGTAAACTTCATCCAATTAATCGATCATGTTTGCTCGCAAGTGTAACTACACGTATAAATTCTCTCGCATATGTAAGATAGAATCTTACATATATAGAAAAAGAAGAAAGTGTCTCGACCAACCTTGTACTCGAGTCCGGCAGAATGCGACGGAGAAGGAATGCACGGGATAGAACACCCACACGAGAAGCGGCGTTTAATGAGAAAGTTACACAGCGACTCGCGACTGACGTTCGTAAACGCGTCCCTGCCTCTTATATGAGGCGCGACTTCCTACGAAGCTGACCGCAGGGGTGTCCCCACTACCGCGGCGGCAATAATCGCGCGTGTAACTTTTTAGATCTCATGCGCGAATGAGTCGCGTAACCCTGAAGGAAAGAGAGCTCGATCGACTCCATCACTCGAATCACCGTTTGCCAGTCGCTGGAGAACCGAAGGATCGATGCGGAAAAACGGCGCGTCACCGGACAAAGTGTGGAAGTTGCGACGCGACTTTCTTACGAGAAATTAACGGATATGTCACTCGTAACTCGAAATAATGGAAAAATTACAGATCGACCTTTACGTTGAATTTGAAAGGTGAGCACCAAAAGTTGGGCGGTAATTCAGAACCGGATCAATTCGGAAAAGAAGTTATTGCACTTTAAAAGAAAATTGTAAGATGAAATGAGTTTGATAGGAATTCGATAGGGAACTTGCACTGCGTATATATTGAAATACCATCAAATCCTTTGTCCGTAAAATTAAAGGAAAGATCGACCATTCGGGAGCTGAGATATTTGCAACTAAAGTTGATACGTTTTTATATATCCGTATTGATTAAAGTAGCGTTAATTAGAAGGTGGAATTAATTGTATGTCCACGACGTATTATACGTTATATATTGTAACGCGCGCTAACAACTTCCCTTAGACTTTTTTCTGTGACTTTTGATCACACGGAAATGAAACACCGTACGTGGAAACGTGGAGATCGTCGACTTCCTTTGGCTCCCTGGCGCGCAGAAAGGTTGCGACGGTTCAATAGTGTACAGCCGCGGCCGCACGACCGGAACGAGACTTTTAATTGGAAAGTCGCTCCCCTTATCTTATCCCACCTACAATGCAGCGGTAATTAACAGCGATAAATCGGAGTGGACTCACGTGGGTGGAGGTTTCGGTCGTTGCGGTCAGGAGCCGATTAGCGAGGAGACAGGGGGAAGTCAGCGCGTTCTGGAAGGAAATTCGCACGGAACACTGTGGATGGTTTTCATGAAATTTATTTCTGCGTTCTGTGTATCGAGCTACACAAATTACGTAGTAAATTATTGGTCTTGTCTGTAGTTTTTTGGATTCCATCTCGCCACGCTCGTGTTCGCGTGCGCGCAACAATTACGAGATCCGATTACGGACACGAATCTCTTTCTCTTTCTCTTTCTCTCTCTCACTCTTTCTCTCATACATACTTTCTTTCTCTCTCTCTCTCTCTTTTTCGATATTTTGCGGCCACGCAAATTTCTTAACAAATATTAGATCCTCCTGCTGATCCGCGAATTGTGCGCCTCGGATATCGCGTTGAACTGATCCGCGTGCCGTCATCTCCGAACTGATAGAAACTGATGATTATTTATGGGTCATAATTTTATGTAATCTTCGAATTTATCGTACAATCGATCGTTTAGAGATAGCGATGATTTAAATAGGATAAGTATTTACCCAAAGGAAGATATGGAATACCCAGGTAGAACAAAAAATCACAATAACAAGAAAATGATTCGCTTTTCTCGATCACTTTCTCGTCATTTTGACGTTATCTCAAGGTCATCGTCATTTTCTCTCCTATCCGCATATTGTAACGTTTAATTTAATAAGTCAATTCTACACACAGAAAAGTATCATTCTACTGTTAAGAAAAGCGATTACTTTCATTCTTTTAAGTAATGGTTGTCTTAAACAAAGAATATTTTCGTGACAACGGCCTCAAAATATGCTCATTGCAAATCTTAGAACAGCTCATTATCACGTACTTAAAAAAAGAATTTACTCTCTTTGCAAGAATATTACAAAGCTTCATTGCGCGAAAAAAAATTAGGCCAATTTAAAGGAACAACACCATTTTCGTTTTAATTCAACATTTCCGATCGAAATTGCTGAACTTACCAGGAGATTCAGAAGATATTTGAAATAAATTCGACGCTTGCGACGAAGTTGTAATATATACTACGGATATATGAACTTATGAAATTCTCGAAACGAGTGATATTTATTTGCACGTAGTATGTATTTTTCTATGTGTGTGTGTGTGTGTGTGTGTACGTAGGAAGAATACGAAAGAATGTGAGAAAATGAGTAACGAATATGAGAATTGTAGTGAACGCTCGTTTGAATTTTTCGAATCACGGCAACACGCTGAAATTCGCGACGCGATATACGAGGCGCGACCGCCCTTAATCTCGCCGCATACACACACTCGCGTATCCTTAGATAAATGGACCGTGTGTTGAGCACCCATCTAAAATGTCTAAAAACATTGTTACGGTAAGGCAAGTAGCAGTCGTACGTAAACAAGAACGAGGAATAGGTTCTACCGCACTCTACGCAATACAATCAACTAACGCAACGTCGGTAATTTCCAGATTTCGGGGGATTCACTGTCTGTTATATATATATATATATATATATATATATATATATGTTTCGCGTCTTACTTCGTGTCATCCCTCGCGCTTCCGCGGCCCTCCCTCCCCACCACGCGTCTCGCGTCGTTTACGTGGAAAGAATGTCCTTCGTCACCGATTTCGTTCACGGTGTCGGTCGTGAGTTCGCAATCATTCGCAAAAGTCCGACGAAGTCGGCGAACCTTCGAAGATAAACGGATAAGTGAATCGAAATGATTCTTCTCTCTTTCTTTTCTTTTTATATGACGAAACATGGATCATCGTCGAAGAAGTCTAATTTGGAAAAATTCGTGTTTGTCAACGTCGACGTTGAAATCTGACTTGGAGAAATTCGTCAACTTCGAAGCATTTTTCTATGAATTTCATTCCGACGTCATCGTCACTTTCTATTTTATCTAGACGTAACGTTGAATTGAATAACAAGTCAATTTTACATACAGAAACACATCATTCCATTGGTTAGAAAGAATTACTCGATCGCTCAATTTATCATCCTTCTTTTAAAAAATGGTCACATTCAACAAAGAATATTTTCTTGACGGTAGTTTCAAACTATGCTCGTCACAAATTTTGGAAAGGCTCATTGTCGCGCATTCAAAAGAAGAATTAATTTTCTTTCCACATTTCACTTCCATAAAATTTCGCTCAGTGAGATTTCTCGGTAGTAGCGAGAGATTATTCGCTAATTATTTTCGATCCTGCATGTCTCTCTCGCCGGTGAGAAATTCCGTCGTTTCTTTTTCACCACGATCGCGAGTCGACGACCGACACCACGGTAGATAACGCTGTTCTGTCTTGTGAAAACCTTTTCTCGAACGTACTTCTTCGACGTAACTTTGTTCTAGGTAGCGGGATTTTAACATCGACTCCCTAATGCGGCGGAAAAGCTGTACGAGCGCACGACAATCACAGGAGCAAGCGTGTCTTCGTTTTTCGTGGTTTCTCTCTTCTTTTTCTTTTCACCCCGATTTCTACCAAATTTGGCACTGGACTTGGCTGTCGCGTTTATTGGCTACGATCCCTCGTGATCATCAGCTCGAATCTTGTCCCTTGCACATTTTTATCCCAAATCGCTCTTAGTTCCCCGGCACGGGATCGTTCCTGGTAATTTCAACCCCCTCTTTGTCACATATTGAGAAACTAGAGAAATCGAATGATAACAATCACAATTAGAGAAGATCTTTGCGATCTCCTCACGTCATTCCCGCCGATCGGATTCACTTAGATTCTCCCAATAATCCCCCTATTTCTTGTTTGTAAACAGAAAACTCGACAAGTCTCTCTCGTTGATAGCCTTTCTCTCGAGAAAGAGAGACAAGCCGGAAACGGGCTGTCGGGTTTATCGGGACAGACAAGACAGGTGAGACGAGTTTCGAAAAATTGATATCTATCGCGAATCTTTTTGTCCGTCGGTTCGCGTGGATTCGAAAGGTGATGAATGTCAGAAATTCTGAGGATTCATCGCGCAACGACGCGATGGTCAGGCGACAGATCAGGCTTTTGCGTATTTCCGAGCTTGAATTCCCGAGCAGAAAAATGTTGGGGGAAAACTAATCGCTAGACAGAAACCAGGCAGTTTTTACCGGCTTGAATTAATTAATGACAGTAACTGTTCAGAAACTTTCCGAAAAAATATTAACTATTACTTCTCGGTCAGTTATTTGCCATAAACTAAATGTTAAAAAAAAAAAATTGTAAGTTAACACTGGACACTTTTTATCCAGCAAAAACTCTTAAAACTCTTGCCCGTGTTTCTTCGCCATTTCCTGGCAGGCAACTGGGCAAAATAATAAATAAGTGAAACAGTACACGAATGAAATGCTCAAAATTTGATTGGGAGCTGGACAGAAACTGGCTGGTTTTACCATCCAGTTACTGTCAAAGCAAGTCTCCCACAAACTTGTAAGTTTTCGGCCAGTAAGACCGATCAGAGACTAGCTGGTTAGAGAATTACTGGCCGGTTGCTGGCTAGGAACTAGTTTAATTTCTACTTGGGAAGCTTATCGGAACGTCCGGCGAGAAGCGATTCGGGCCCGCTCCTCGTCGCACCGGTTTCCGCCTTTAATGAGTCATTAACAATGAGATACGCGTCAGGCATGTATATGTATATATGCATGTGTGTATGTCTTTCTCTGTCTCTTTCTCTCTCACTTCGTTCGGCGGGTAACTGCCGCCGTTGCTGCGAAACGTTTCTTTTTTTCGCGTCGACGGAATCGACGCGAGTCGAAGTCGAGCGCGCGTTTCTCGTGCTGGGACGCGCAATTAAAGGAATTTAACCTCTTTCGCCCCGCGCCTCACATGATTATCCCGTCTCGAAGGCGGAAAAAGTTGTGAACGGAGAGAGCGAATTTTCGCTGGAATTTCTCGACGGCTGCTTGCCGACCTTTGTTTCGCGCCGCCTTTTCGCGCGAGTGACAAACGAATGCAACGTCTGCTGCTCGGTGACAGAACAGAAGCGACGACACAACAATAGCCCGATAGAGTCGAAACTTAAGGTAACCGCGTAGTATATACCGTGCGTGTGTATCGAATATATCCCACCATATATATATATATATATATATATGTATATATATATATATATGTGTGTGTGTATGTGTGTGTGTATGTATAATGAATACTAATTAATTAAACGATATACAACATGTGTATGTACCAACGTAGAAAACAACGCTTAAGGGAGTTTCTTCTCTTTACACTTTCCTAAATATATATAGCTAATTAATGTAACAGCACTTCTCTTAGATCCCATATTGAACTCGGGGGAGAGAACGATCGCGCTTAACACCGATTCCGTCCCCTTTTCTTTCGTTCCTTCTTCCTGAGAACTCTTAGAACGATCATCATCGTCATCTTGTCGCATCACAACAGTCATGCTTTGCAGATAAATCGGGTTTTTAACGTTTTTTTTCCTCGAGAGAGAGGGAGAGGAGAGAAGTTCACGGTTTCGCTCTCTGTCTCTCTCTCACGAACGGAACGAAAATTCGCACTCGGTCAAGCGCGATCGTTCTGTCTCCGCGCGAGACGCATCCACGATCCTATTATCACAGTCAACCACCTTCTTTCCCAGGTTTTTTATAACCACGAATATAATAACACTTCTGATTTTCTGTTCTTTTTTTTTTTCTTTTTTTCTCCTCCTCGAACATTCCTCCGTCATCCCGTAGGAAAGCACACGTAGTGCGATGATTTTCAAGTTCACTCACGAGCGAACGAAACATTTCACAAGCACACTCGCGCGCGCGCGCGCGAGCCGTTTATCTCGAAAGTGTGCGCCAAGGGATGAAATTTCAAGAAAAAACAACGAACAATCTATATTTTAGTCCGAAAAAAAATACCATCTCTCGATACAGCAAACTCAAGCCGAAGTATCGATGTAAACTCACGTCCGAAAGTATGTGTAATATGCGTAACGCTGCCCTCGGTATTATAATAATTTATAATCAAATGTCCCAACTTAAAAATTAGTAGAAAAATATTTTATCTACGTATCCTCCGACTACTTTCCACGTGTCGGCCCAAAGTCCCAAATAAAAACGGCGAAAGCTACGCAACAAAAATCCTAATCACAGCCATTTTCGTATTCTTACAATGCTTTCCCGACTCTTTGGGTACCATATATATGTATATATATCATATATCATATATCTATGTATATATGATATATATGTATATGATATATATGATATATATATATATATATGAAAAAAAGGAAAAGAATTCGAGATTTCATACAATGTGTTATCAGCGGCAAATTGGACGCAAGTGGAATGAACTGAACAGCGCAAATTTTCTCACTCACGACGTCGCACACTAACCGATCGGATTCTCTCAAGCCCTGGCGTGTGTTCACCGAGAGCTCGAGGCCAGAGCCACTTTCGACATAGAAGACTCGCGTGACCGCCTCGAATCCAGAAGAAATATATACGCAGTCGTTACTTCCAGAAACAATCGAGAACGCAATAGGAACAGTCGCGCACAGGAGAACCATGAATTCTCACGGGCGTCTCCGGGTCCGTCCGAGGGGTACGCAGTTCTTAACCCTTTCAGTACCTAGTTAGACATAGAAGGACGTTCAGCGGCCTCCCCAGATTCATATTCAGTTTCCTTGCAACAGGCTCTCCGTCTACTTCGCGCTAAGTAAATGTTCTCTCAAAGCCCGCGCGACGTGAGATACAAATATGCAAACGTTATTAATATTTGGACGAGAGTTGTCCTTTTATTCCGCCTCGTTTAGACCTTCCCCGATTTGTGTGTTGCGCTTCGGGTCACGTTACGCGTATGTGAGAGAATATACAGACAGAAAATCGGCTACACGACGCTACGTAAACGTTAATAAATCAACGTTGATAAGTCAATTTTGTGTTATCAGTGAGTAAAAAGTGAAATAATTCGGAAAGATGGAACTTGAGTTGTTAAAATAACACGGATCTCGATTTTGAAATTAAAATATGAAAAGAATCGCGACACATATCCTCTTTCTCTCTCTCTCTCTATTTACATTTGTAGTTTTATCGTTATTCATACATCGTCGTTCGACGTCACAAATCTTTTCTGTCTCCGCTGTAACAGCGTACTTTCGAAATATAGATAGTCCAAAGATAGTGAGGAAAAAAATCAAAGCCGCGGCGAACGTTTCGCCCGAGTTCGGAAATGAACGGGAGAAGGTGCGGTGGTCCGATCGAAGTTTCACCATTCACCAAATCTACTCGAGCTCAAGGAAGGTACTGAAAGAGCTAATATGTGGAGCGGAGAAAGTAAGCGAATTTCCTTTGTATCTCGGTCAATACTTATCGCGGGCGAAGTATCGTCGCTCGGCGCGCGACGCGCGCCCGCTTGATGTCGCGAGATACGATATTAATCACGCATAATTGTGACGCGCTATGTAATAAGTGTCGACTTTTTTTTTAGTACAGCAGCAGGTGAAATAGGGTAGTGCCCGACTAGCTCGAAATACATAATTAACGAACAGGTATAATCGCGAAATATGCATTATTACTCTATATCTGTATGTTTTATAGATACTTTTATATATATATATATAACTATGTATACATATATATATACTATGTATATATACATATATCATTTTGTTCATTTTGCTTCTTTTTGCCGTATACCCCGGGGCTTAGGTACACACGTGACTAGTTCATAAAGAAATGAAAAGGAAACAAAAAAGCGAGAGAACCTCTTCGCTCGCTCGCCGCGCGCTTCTCACCCTCGTCGCCTTCGCTCGTTTGAGGTACTTTTACATACATGTACTGTCTGTTTTTGTGTCATTGTACATATATATATATGTGTGTGTGTATATGTGTGTGCGTAAGTATTACATGTGGGAGTGTGTGTCATCGTACATACGCGTTAATACATAAAACGCATGTGCTGTGTATGTGAAGCGGCCTAAATATCGCGCGAATTCGCTCGAGGTTCGCACGGGAATTTCGTCTTTCATGAGCTGCGATCTCTTTCTCTCTCTNTCTCTCTCTCTCTCTCTCTCTCTCTCTCTCTCTCTCTCTCTCTCTCTCTCTCCCGTGAACCTCTGGATGATAATAAGACATGGTGACGACGACCACCACGCCGCGACGAATCTCTCTCGGCGAGGAGTCTCGTTTCCGCGGCGGTAAAAGTGCGGCGACGACGAAGTGACAGCGGCGACGACATTGACGTCCCTCACGAGGCGACGCCTCGCGCCACAGCGAGGCGACCGGGCCTCGTGCTGTTCGGTTGAATTGGATCGCTCAGCCCGATCGTGGGCTAACTCGGCGCGTCCTCCGGCTCCACCACGCCGCCAGACATGGCCGGGCTCGTCTCGCTGCCCTGACTCATCGTCACGAATTGCTGCGACAGCGTCTGCAGGCTCTGACGTACCTGCGAGCAAGCCGGTTCCTGAGATGAGCGGCAGGGGTCACATTTTGCCGACGATCGATCGGTCGGCCGACCGACGGATCCACCGTTGATTCAGAATACGGATTAAGATTGGGACTGAGTTGAAATTTCGCGGAGCGAAGTTCACTAAACCTGAATCTCGATCTCAATCTCAATCCGTACTCTGACACGGGTTAGTAAGATACACAGAACCCCAATAATGCCTTCCAATTCCGGTTGAAGTGTTTAAGGCGCTTTAAAGGCACTTTCTAAGAAATTTGGATTAAGATTCAGAGTTTCGGCACTCGGAACTCTTACTCTCGAACCGCTGCGCGCGCGATCGAACGGACGAACCGAACAGGACGCCTCACCTTGATTATTTGATCCAGGTTCGTGTTGAGATAATGCAGCAGTCGGTCGTGTGTAAAACGCTCCGGCGAGACCAGCGGGTGGTTCACGTACACGGTGTGCAGATTCTCAATACGCATCAACATTACAGCGGCCGACACGTAGAGAGCCATCAGGAGAGCCGCCAAGAACACCAGTATCGTAATCAACGTGCCAGGCCTCAATCCAGCGAACAAGGATCTCAATACGCCGAATCGGCCCGGTGTCAGCGGCCTCGTTACTACCGAGCTCTCCAACCTGCGGACGGGAAAGTAAACGGGATCTAATAAGGGAAGAATACTGACCCAGTGATATCGCCTGGTCGCACGTGAAAAAGAAAAATGACGGGACCAGCGAGACTTCACTTGCATAGAAAACACTCGCTGGGCCATTTAAAGGAATGACATAATTTCAGCAATGAGTTATCAGCTGGCTCAACGATTGCATCAGCAACACGTCAATGTAACGTGACTTAAAACATTGTGTGATTTTTTCCAGCGGACGCAACATTTTTTTGTCGAACAAGACCGACCGTCGATTTTTGTCGATTCGGTCGCTTCCTTTCTCAGCATTCGATCTCGAATGATGCGGAGGATTTCGAAGAAAAGTCGCACGTGCCGATCGCGTGGGTCCATCCGCGATTCGCAAGTTACCTCCCGAATGAAAGCCGAAAACTCACCTGGCGACCGGCAAACTCGGCCTGTTCAAGGCGACCGGCGCCCCGTCGGTGTCGGTGCAGACGGTCGGCGGCCTCGAGGTGAGATCGGTGCCGCTCTCGGACATGCTCGACTCGTCCTCCTCGGCGTTCACCTCCTCGGAATCGTCCACCAGCAACGTGTCGGGCGTAAGGAGCTTGCTGTCGCTGGCGAGCGACGGCAGGACGTCCGGTGTCCGGGGCTCCATCGCCGCGTCCCAGACCTGCTTCATCAGCTTGAAGGTCGAGTCCCTCGAGAGCAGCGAGCAGAAAACGTGGCGCTCCTCCTCGGTCGCCACCGCCACCGCATTCGGTATGATGCGGGCGGTCTTTTCCTTGCTGATCTTCAGCACCGACACCGTCGGTATCAGCAGCTTGGTCACGTAGCCGAACACGTTGCTGTAGAACGCGAAGTAGTTGGGCGTGATATACAGGTGACCCTGCAGCAGGATGTCGCCGACCAGCGCGCAGCTGTAATAGTTCAGCACGCGCTCGTCCTCCGCCACCTGGTCGCGAAATTTCGAAGACTACGCATTAGGTCGGTACTGCTCTTTCGCCGGTGCGACGAGACGCGCATCGTCGTTACGCTTATGCGGGGCGAGCCTCCCGTTCGGTTTCCCGGCGAGAGGTGAGGAAAGGGACTTGCCTCCTTCAAAAGTTCGTCAATCCTTTTTCCCCCCAATTTTCTACATTTTTCTCAACTTCTAAATTTTTTTCAATTAAATTCTAAATTTTCGGACTTTAATTTCCAAATTCCTAAATTTAATTTCTAAAAAATTAATTTTTAAACTTAATTAAATTTCTAAATTCTACCTTTCAATTTGTAGAATTAAATTCTAAATTTTTTATCTTAATTTCCAAATTTCTATATTTAATTCAATCGACTCAGTCACGAGTTACCGCTTCGCCGGGGAGATGAACTCTGTTTCGAACGGATACGCGATATCTCGTTTACGAAACATTCCTTGAATATCGAGCGAGCCTGCGTCGCTTTTGTTCGCTTGTACGGTTGCATTCGTTACTCCGCACAATTGATACAACGCGATACGCCATTCGCACGCTATTCGACAAGTTGCAAATCCTTGAGATGCATCTCTCTCGATTATTTGTACTCGTCCTTAGCGTAAGAATCACGGAGAACGCAATCGAAGCCAAGTCCGAGTCGGAGGAAGCGATAACTTTCAGTTCGTCTCTTTTGAGGCTCGCGCGTTGTGAAACTCGACCGCCTATGTCTCTCTCTATCTCTCTCTATCTCTCTCTCTGCTCCGGATATCTTTCGCAAATGACGGAAGCGACGGATCTTTTGTCTCCCCGAAGTTCACCGACGCAGCAAGGGGAAGTATTTTTATATCGTATAACGCGAGAGCAAACGCTGTTGCGAAGCGGAGCATGCAGTGACGTCCGCGTTCACATCCCACATCCTGAGACGTTAATTCATACTGGACGGGGATGGGGAGTAAATAATGCGATAATGGAGTCCTTCAACGCGATTTCCCACATTTTCTCCGTGATGAACATCTTATTAATTAATTTTTAATCTGTGGGAGGATATTAATGTTTAAACGTGTAGTGACGCACGTAGCGGATTAGCTTCCGGACGAATGTGATGAATCAACCTTTTACGTTAAACGAATCAAGATTGTCAATTATATCTTTTCCACTATATTTTATTATATTATACTTTATGATATTTTTATATTATATTTTTAGCGCCAGGTACCTTTCTTATATACAATCTGCATTAACCTTTCCACAAATATTTTCAATTAATTAATATATTATTATTATTTGGACTCGATTCGCGTTCTACGTTCACGAGCTTGACGATACGCGGCATGTAAGCTGACGATCTTCGTTTTACCTGACTGAAGTGCCTATGGAATTTTTTCTGTCTCGCGCTGCTGGTGGACGTCGGCGACGACCTCGAGGAGGATCTGCTAACCTTTGCTGGAGTCTGCGCGCCACCGCCAGCTGCCATCGATGGTGTGCTCCTACTCAGCGGCTTCGAAAGGTGACTAAAAAGGGAGAAAAATACTATATCACTCGCCAATACTACGGATAAATATTATCTGTTGTACGAGCTACTTTGTTTAGAAAATTATGCAAGTTCAATTTTGGAAGGGAAATGATAATTTAGTGTTGCTATGCTCGAGGATCAGTTGGAGGAAATAACAAATGCAAATGAGTGTCACACAAGGCAAATGAGTGTCGAAGCACTGATATTTTGGCGAATAATGTTTAATTACAACTAGTCAATATTAAAGAGATAATTGGAAAAAATTTATATTTTCTATTCGTAGTTTTCAATTTTCTATCAATACAATTTCTGTCGTTAGTTTGAAAAAGTTTGCAATTCTTATGATAGAAAAAGTTTCGGAGAAACTACTGTTGCGCACAGAAAAATATATACCGCATTAAACATTATTTGTTTTGAGTATTTCTCAGATTCATAAATCCGCAAGTATAAGTTCATCATACGCATCAAATTTACTCAAAATATATCCTGAATCTTAGTAAACTTAGTACTTCAACTTTAAGAATATTAAATTAAAACACTAAAACTGAAACTTCGGTGTTACTTATATGTTCAAATTAACCGAATTTAAGTTTTCCCCCGCAAAGTTTACAACATTCTTGAAGAGAGAACAAACTCTTCTTTCAAGTAAATAATTAGATCCAGTGAATAAATCTTGGTAAACTTATCTAACATTTACGATAAGTATATTTTAATACTATTATCAAGAAAACATTCTTTGTTCAATATAACCGTTGCACGAGAGAAAGAAAAAAATGAACTGAGTAATTGCTCTTCTTCGCAGTATATAATAAACAATAAAACAATATATGATAAACAATAATATTTTGCCCTGTGTAATCAATGCAAGGATCACTATAAATCGACTTCTCGAAATCCCCTTTCTCACTTCCCTCACTGGAAGACGCACCGCTTTCGGAGGAGTGACGAATTAGTCTGAAAATACCATCGAGCAAATCAACGAGCGATTCGCACATTTCGTTCAGAAGCTCGGCGGAGCTGCTTCTTCGTTGAGAGGTCGATCTGCTTATTTTCCTCGGGAAAGTGATGCTCCAGAGATCGTTGCCCCACATCTCCTGCGATTCTGCCATTGTCGAGTGCCCTCTCGAAACGTTCGTCAAGGATTTCCTGTATCCCTACTCGAATTTCATTGAGAGAAATAACGCGCGGGATAACGAGACAACGTGAATTCACTTCCTCCAATTAACCGGGTGTTTTCATCCGAGCGGCTTCAATCGGGAATCAAAGTTCCTCACGTTCCACGCGTTGAAATTCCTCGCAAGGAATTTGGGCGGTGGCGAAAATCGTGCGTGAGAAAGCGATGAGAGAAGCGAGAACCCTCTCTCACTGACTCGTCATACAGAGTTCCCCTTGACGGAAAACAACGTTGACGAAGCCGACACCGGAGGGTGGACTCGTGATGTTCGCACGCGAGAACACGCGGACGACCGATCGGCGCGCGGCATAACGCTTAACTGGTGCACGCCGTCCCCGCAGCTTAACAATCCGCTGCCGGCGATAACACGTGGGAGAGCGATCGTAGCGTCCGCGGCACCATCGGCGTCGATTAAGCAGATCGGACGACTCTCGTGGAACTCGCGAAAGTTGACGTGGTGATAATCGCGTGTGCGTGTGAAGTATAATGTGTGTGAGCGAGATAAAGAGAGAGACGTTAGAGATACGAGGAGTAGATGAGAAAAATGCGATAAGGCGCGGCGGGAATATTACTGGACGGAGAGAGAGAGAGAGAGAGAGTGGGCAAGAATATCGACAGCAATTCGCAGGTGGATGGGTGCGGCAATGTTTTGCCGTCGTTTGGTCAGTCATGGACGCTCGCGATCGCACACGAGACCGGAAATAATGTCACTTGGAAAGAGAAAGAGAGAGAGAGAGAGAGAGAGAGAAAAAAAGAAGTCAGTTCTTTCTGCATTTCATGTTTGCATTGCAATCGATAAAACTTACTCGGACTACGGATAATGGAATTCTCCCCCGTTGTATTTTCATCGATTTGAATTTTTCATTTCTAGCGACACGGCGTAAACGACGACAAGTGAGCGAGAATGCAGTCTCTCTTTCTCTCTCTCTCTTTCTGCGGTATAATTTTTTTTCTCTCGAATATCGAAGTTCATATATTTCCTTTAGCTCTTAGATCTTGTCGATCTTTGAAGTTGGAAGTCTGATTACAAGAAATTTTTAGAACCAATGATAATCATGCGGGGAAGATAATTGCGGATGATTGATTCTGGCGGGGGGATGATAATGTGTCAATAAAAACATTTCTGTTTTGTTTTATTTATTATTGTCTTACTGGCTATCAAAATTATTCATGATTGTGTATCCGAAGAGTCTTAACATTAATTATTAATATGTCAAGACTTTTTAAATAAATAACTAAATAAATAAGTAAATAGATAATTAAATAATAGCAGATTTCTCAAAATCCTGATGTAACCGAGACTATTCCTTATACTCTCAGATTTGTGTATTTAACAAAAATACATAACAAAATGATTCATTATTCTCAAGGCAAATTTCGCCGTTGTTCAGTGCTATCAGAGCGGGAAAGTTTTCGGAATATTTTACAAATATGCTCAACCGATCGCGAGTGTCATTTCATAGACGTATCTTTTCACCTCAACTGGTATTCCTTAAGAACTTTCGACTCGCTCTGACATCATTAATTAAGACGACCGCAGCCAAGGATCACCTTAAAATGCAAACGAGACAACTAATGTTCCGGATATATAATATCGGGACAGTTCCGTCGCAAAAGGCGATTTTACGGTATAATCGTACGACGCCATGCTTGGTACGGTCGTAATGGCCGTTTGCAGCAGCTATTGTAAGCTATCGTAAGAATGCCGGCAAAACATTCGCGTGTGTGATTGAACTGTTTCAAAACGCAATTCTATTCTCGGCGCAGATTTAATGCCGCAAAGCGACGCGAACGTCGACGTCCGACTATGCCCAGTTTTAGCGTTAAAAACACACGCGGCAAAAATACCGAGTCCACACTCGGAGAGAAAGATTTCTTCAAATTTAATCAATTTCATCGCAGACGAAAAATTTGTTCGAAACGAAAGATAATTTTCTCACAGAGAAATTATTCGCTTCGTTTCACCATATTTATCGTAACCGAATAATATTTTATTCGATTGAAAGATATTTTGAACAATGGTGTTCTTTCTGTTAAATCAGAATTTTCTCGAATGAGACGGTGAAATGTTTACTCAAACAAATAATATCTCGTATATGTTGCTTCTACGAAACAAATTCTAGTCAAGTAAATAGAAATACTAAATCTGAAGAAGCTCTTTTTCTTTGCGTGCCGAGTCTACCGAGTTTACCGAGTCGATTCCCCGCGGAGGATTATTCCTACAGATTTTATCTTATTCGTTGAAACAATCGACACACAGTATCGATTTGTGTACATTTCTGCAATCCCTGTTTCGCTAAAATTCATCGTTTCTCGAGACAAACTTGTTCCGACGCGTCAGTTTTTCCACTTGCACCGTGCGATAAAATCCAAACGCTGTAATAACATCACGCAAACGGCGCCAATCAATACAAGATGTCACACGGTATACGCGAGTTATATCGTAGAGAATCCCCCCGCTTCCCGATAAACGAGTCAATTACGTATCTTATCTCTCGGGTGGAGGTAACGTCTTATTTTTCGCGACGATTTCCCACCCCCCTTCGTCTCTCCCCACCTCCCTGATTCTCTCCCATGCCCAGGTGTGCAAAGTTATCATCCATACGCGTTGATAACTTTCGAGTGCCGATATGATCCCGCACATGCGAACTTGTTTCACGGAAGCAGAGAATAGATTCGACCTTGATAACATATTCAATTCTACCTAATGATGTATTTATGCTGAAAAAAAAAACGCAAAGTTGCTCGTCATTGCGTCGTCGCGAGAAAAGAAACGAGATAGCCGGCTCGATTCTGCGAGAGATGCCGAGCGAACTGGGACTCGGGCAGACAGAGAGCGAAAAGAAGCGCGGTTATTAGATGATTTTTTCTAGTCAAATTTGACTTTAGACAGTAAATGTTTGGTGTTAGATTTAACACCTGTCACATGTCCCAAACGGTCCAGTCACTTTCGAACGAAATAAATGTTATGTATTTAACACGTGTATTGTTATAATAATTTATCAATTTACTTTCCCGATGAGGTTACTTCGTCATTAATTGGGCACACTTCAGCTGATAATAAATAAATCCAATATATTTTGATTGAAGGAAAGAGAATTTCCAGTTCGAATGAACGGAATCCAATTGTTATCAGCGGGAATTCCGTTTCGTTCGGACCTAAACACGTTTGGCTCGTTCATTCGGTAAATTCAGCCGCATTCTTTTCTCCGTATGTGCGCTTCCATTTAATATCACGGAACCCATAATTCAACGTGCGTGCTAACGGACGTGTGCGCGGACAGGTGCAAAAGGAGCTTCAAGCGGATGCAGATACGACGAAGAGGGGGGGCCTCACCTGTCGTTACATCTCAAGGCCGCGTGACTGGGACTCCTCGGAGGTTGAGGATAGCCGGCGCCGGCCACGGTGAGCTGAGACCCGCTGATCGATTGTTGGCCCGCGGCCTGCGGCCCATCAGGAGCAGCTTGCAGGGGCGTGCTGGGTGCCGATCGCGCGCCTATGGACCCCGCAGACCTGTGTGAATCAGAGCGGTGGGATTATGCTAAGACGTAACGAAGAGGCGCTATCCACGGGAATTCATTCACTTCTCGACACACTTCTTTTAAGTTGACCTTTAATTATAGTGATTTTTAATTACTCGTTGAAATTAGTTTCTCGGAGTTATTTTCGCGGTTAACTCAATACGTCCTTACTTTTTACGTATTCCAGAATATGTAATACTATATACACATACACACGGACACACGGGGTAATTGGAGAGAGAATCGCAATATTTGCACAATGCGTACAGAGGATCAGAATAGACGAAAAATCTCACAAACACAGGTCTGATTCCGTTCCTTTAGATTTGGGGTCTGATTCTGTTCCTTTAGATTTAGTATTTCTATTTATTTGACTAAAGTGTTCATAGAAGCAACATATACGAAATATTTGTTTGACTAAAAATTGTATTATCTTATTCAAGAATATTCTATTACTTAACGGAAAGAACACTATTATTTGAAGCAATATATTTTAATCGAATAAAATATTATTTGGTCACGATAAATATGTAAAATGAAACGAATAATTTCTTTATAAGAAGATTATCTTTCGTATCAAACAAATTTTTTATTTAAGATAAAGATACACATTCGTTGAAGAGTCTAACAATCGTACTTATTAATCGAAACATTAGTTTTCTTTGGAGCGTGCCAATGATGAAATTTGCTTCGATGCAATAAAATCTATCGAATTTGAAGAGATCTTTTTCTCAGTGGTACTTGACTAAATGACTTCGACAAATAAACGTCAAAATAAATGCTTATAATTAGGAAACTATTGTTTCCCTTACACTACGTGTCCGTGACTTTTAGTTGTGTGCGACTGAGAGCCTGATCCGACCACGTGGTATCATTGGTTTACAATGCTTATCCATAACACCCATTAATTCCGTAACGGCTGAGAATCGGACCTATGTTTACAGGACTTGTTCGGTCTATTTCGGCCCCACGAACACTTTCTCCAAATCTTGTGGTTTCCCAATAATCGCCCCGTATAATTCTTCAACAAGTAAAATAACAACGATCTTTAATCGAACGATCTTTCAAGCTGCACTCGCGCGCGACAGTACCTTGCCCTGGTGAGCGGGACGGAGATGAAGCAAAGGTCGATCAGCGCTTGAGTTTCAAACTCCATCATGGTTTCCGCGAGGACGACAATCATCAATCGATATCAACGGGATATCGCGGTCTCCCCCTGGGAGGTTCCCTCTCTCTCTAGGGGATAATAGAATATTGACGCAGCTTCAACGGCGGTTGCCAGCCGGTCGACAATCGACGTGAGCTCGGACGGGATCAATCGGACGGGGAATCGACAGATGTCGATTGTCCTCGATGAGGAAAAAAATCGTCGTTATCCAAGGACGCGCGAATGTCAGCTGCACAATCACACGACGACGACGACGAGAAGAGTAATAATCCTCTCGGCGGCGCGAAGGATGCGCGTGAAGTAGCAAAGTCGACACGATACTTCCCACCTTATCTGGTTTATTGCACGCGCCGAACTGCGTCTCGGCCCGAGAAGACGATAGACGGTAAAAAGTGGCTGACGAATGAGAGTCGCAGAAACGGTAGCGATCAACGCTACCTTTGATCTCAAGCGTTGCTCGCCTTGTTGCTTGCCAACTTTTGCGAGAACGAAAAAAGGAATGGTGCGAGGATAAAGCCGCGGCGACGCGGAAAGAAAAATGTCTCTTGCTCCAAGCGGCGGACGGAGCGAGACATAGCGAGCGAGCGAGCGAGCGAGAGAGAGAGAGAATGAATCGACAGAGGAGAAAGAAGAGAGAGGAGCTATCGACGCGGCGAACGGGACGAAAAAATGCGGCGATGACTAATGAACCAGTTTCGACCTGTTCGCACCGCGAGAATAACCGCACCTCGTGTGGGTTCAACGAGCCGCGCGGCAGGTTGCTTTAACAAGCGGCCGGACCGCAACGATGCACAATGAGGCGAACGCGAGAGGGACGCCGGCAACGAGCGGTCCAACGAGCGGGCCGGAGGAGCGGGACGGATGGAATTGCTTCTATCTTTCTCTCTATCTCTTCAATAGAATCCGCGTTGATATCGGTACTTCCTGAAGATCCCTCTCTTCGCTTGCCGCTGCCACTTGGCGCTGAGCGATCGCAGAACCAGCCTCGCGATGAAGAAGACGCCCATGTCGACGATGTGACGCGGAGACCGATCGGTGGATCCTTTCCGAAGCCGCGACAGGTGAGAGAGAGAGAGAGTAATCGAACCGGTGATCCAACGGTGACCTTCTCGTCGTAGAAGTAAGGACAGGTCGGAGAAAAGAAGAAAATGGAGAAGGTGGAGAGGAACGAAGCGAGAGGAAGGAGCGATAAAGAGCGAGGCGCGAGCGTCGGTACCTCCGCGGGCCAGCCGGGACGTCAGACTGGCCGCCGTTAGACACGTCAAAGCGTCCTTACCCTTCGCCCGACTCCGCGACCTCCTTCATAATTGACGAATTCCGTACATTTCCGCTCGTGTCCGTGCGCGTAGCTGTGTGTAAAACCGGCGGCGGCTATAGCAGGCGTTAGAGTTTCAAGTTTCGCGCTCCCGTTCACGTATACCGGCGCGAGGATCGAATATCGCGCACGCGGCAATGTGCAGAGAGAGAGAGAGAGAGGCGGATCGCATGATCGCTAAGTGGAATGAGCAATCGCTGAATGAGAGAAAAAGAACGTTCTCATCCCCGAGGTGTGAACCACTCTCTTCCAGCGGTGAGCGCCGGTTCGCGTCGTCACTTCGGACGTTTGAATAAACATCATTCCGGCAAATTGACGCGGAAAGGACGCACGCTCGAGTTGCCCGCGACGGGACGCTTCACCGAGCTGAGAGAGAGAGAGAGAGAGAGGAAGCGCGAGGTATTTCGCAATTAGCCGCTTCGTTGGCTGCGAACTTCGAGAATGGTCTGTTCTTTCGAGCTGAACTGGCTGCGCTAGTTGAAGAAATTTACACACACTGAAGCGTGAGAATCTCTCACCGTACGCACGCATACATACGCTTCAATGTGTGTGTATATTTCTTGAACTAGCGCAGTGAATTCAAGTAAAAGAAAGAAAACGGATCAAAAAATACAGGCAAGAAATACGCACAATCTTTACTTCGTCGAGTCGCGAGCATCGTTTGTTTGGCGGCCCTTCAGAAGGCGCTTGCGTTATTTCCTTTCATGCCGCGCATTGATGAAAGATAAAGCGTAACGGGGGTCGTTAGTGGTATCAGTATTCTCGAGCTCTCCCCGTGTTTGGAGATCGAAAGGCAACAATGGCGGGGCTGATCGATCCCATTATTCTCATTAAATGCGCATCGACAACGGTCGCTTTGATATGTGGAAGTAAAAACATGAGTTATACGTATATGTATGTGTAGTATGGTCGGCTTTATGTACGCCGTACCATTATCTGGATTGAAATTTTTTATCATTATACAGTTTTTAGTCTTTCTCATGTGAGAGAAAGGAGGGTAGGATGACGAAATGAGTAAGATGAATATTTGCTAATTTTTCTAAGCTAATAACAAACAACGAGTCGATGCTCAACTCTTATTAGAGGCTTTTAATAATCATAGATAATCTGTCTACAGACAGATAATTTAATAGGAACAGCGGATAATATAATAAGAAATGTATTTTGGATACACCTATATGTAATTTTGTGATAATCCTTCGTAAGGAATTACGCAATTATACGAGGATGGATCAAATATAAACGAGCATTTTGCAAAAAAATCATATATTTTTCAAAATCAATTCTAATTTACATTTCTCTTATTTTTCTACATGGTCCCCCGNCTTGACAATATTACCTACAGAACACTGATATTTTTGCAAAATTTATGTTTTATTAGTTGCGCAGAATTATAAATGTTTTCAAACAATAAAAATACGCGTGTAAATAAATTAAAATATTATTCAGTATGTGATGAAAACGATGAAAAATTTCAAAGTAATATCTCCAGCTATCAGTTGGCATAAATATTTACCTGATATACGGGGTGGATCAAATATAAAAGAGCCTTTTGCAAAAAAAACACATAATTTTCAAAATCAATTCTAATTTACATTTTTTTATTTTTCTACATAGTCCCCCATCTTATCTATACACTTCCTCTAACGGTCTGGTAACTTTTTAACCCCGGTATCATAAAAAGTTCGCGGACGTGTATCAAACCAATTGCATACGAACTGCTGCACCTCCTCGTTCGTTGTGAAGCGCTGTCCACCAAGGGCTTCCTCGAGTGGCCCAAACATATAGAAGTCGCATGGTAACAGGTCTGGGCTGTAGGGTGGATGTTGTTCTAGGACAATTTCTGCATTCAGCAACTTTGGAACCCAACGAGCCGACACTTTTCGTAATCCCAACTCATTGCGAATGATTAATTGCACACTTCCATAGCTGATCTGAAGTTCCTCAGAGATTTCAAGAACAGTCAAGTGCGGATCCCCTTCGATGAGTTCTCAAACAGTCACGGTGTGTTCTGCGCTGTGATGCTGGTGCGGGGACGGCGCGGGTGGGCAATGTTTTCAACACGTTCCCGGCCTTTCTTAAATTCGTTACACCTCTGCTTCACCCGAGCCCATGAAAGGGTTCTTTCCCCGAACTGTGGGAGTAAACGGCGCCGAATTTCAGCAGCATTTACATTTTCGTTGACGAGAAACTTAATAATAACACGTTGTGCAACTGCGGGGTGTACCTCTTCGCGCTCATCGTGATCGTTGCTGAGAGTGAGAAGCACGTGGCGCGTCAACGTTATTACTGCCTTCGACATGACCCCCCTCCACTGTCCAAAACATAATAATTATAACTAGAGATAATCCTATAAGCATAATTCGAATTACTTGTGCGATTTTCAACTTTACCGGCTATGTATAAGACTGAAAATTATATTATTTTCCGTCTGAGGAATGATACGGCATACTTGAGGACGACTGTAACAACAGCTCGATATTTCCAAGCGCGCCTGATGATACAAAAA